CACATAGATTGTTGAACAAAAAAGAAGTAGAAAATAAATAGTAGTTTAATAAACTAAATAAACACGTTTCTATGGACAAACAAACGTTTGCCGGGACAGCTAGTATATTACCTATATGAATTCATATAACCTATAGAAAAACATAATAGTTATTTATGTATCAAGGGCGTAAAGTAGGCTTTTATGGATCGCAGCGTGTAAGTAAGAGTTCGAGCGATAGGATATTAACACGCCTATGTCCATATAAAAGCAAGTTACGCCCGAAATACATACAACATTTTATGCACGACCGTTTTATACGTTTATTTACTGTCAATATGGAATTTATTCATGATTTTTCATTCATTCGGCCAAATTATGTATGCCACTGGCGAAGAAAGATCGCATGGTAGTCTACTAGAAATTACTGAAAAAACTGTGAAATTACTTTACTGCTGATCGCCTACTTTACGGCCCGCCGGACTACTTTACCGCCCGCTGTACTCCTTTATCGCCCTAGTGCGCTAAAATGCAACTTTATGCACGCGAATTCGGGCGATAAAGTGCCACTTTACGCGCGGTCGTGCATGAAAATGATTTATTTTTAAATTTTACATCCAATATTCTGAGTTATAACTCGGAATTTTAAAATTCCGAGTTATAACTCGGAATTTTACATCCAATATTCCGAGTTATAACACGGAATTTTAAAATTCCGAGATATAAGTCGGAATTTTGATGTAAAATTCCGAGTTATAACTCGGAATTTTAAAATTCCGAGTTATAACTCAGAATCTTGAAGAGTTTTTATTTTTTTTATTTTATGTGTCCCTTCCAGGCCTTCGTATATACTCATCTCACTCCCTGAAGCCCAAAATTGAGGTAGATCAATAAGTCGCCTGTCGCCAAGTTCGCCAAAATAGGTTCAGAGATGGCCCAATTGGCGAGAAATCGTCCATACTGGCAACACTGGTTACTTATCGATTTTTCTTTGAAGCCTAGTTGCAATCGTTCGGGGAATCACACATACCGCATACCGCGACACCCGCCCGCTTCGCCAGTTGCAGTGCTGCCAGCGTTCTGCTATTTTATATTATTATACTGATGTTTTTGTATATTATTATATCACTATATCAGTAGGGGTCAATCGTTCATGTAGGTAACGGACTTACTCGACGTCGACCCGGGCACAGGTCCTTCGGCCACGTTAGCTGAGGTAACGAGCTGGTTACGTCAGAGACTTCTGTCTATAAATACAATTTTTATAGTACAAAACCGTTTTTGTTTTTTAAAATATCCTATTTTGATGAGTGTGAAAGTATTAAATAGAATTGTCACAAAAGAGATGGAAAAATCCGTGGAATTTCCCCTTATTTCCGTAGTAAAAATGAATTCAGTAATTTGTCCTTTGAACTAGAGACATTTCCATAGACCTGGCATCACTGATCACTGGTTGAAACTAAGTAGCACCAGATTTTTAGCGAATGAGAAAATGATTGATTACTTGCTTTCATAAGAAATAATATATAGAGTTTCATATGGGCCTACCACAAAAGACAATATTTTGTTTATGCCTACACTAATTTCATGAGTGGATTATGTATACTTACTTCAACACCAATTTTTCAAATGGGAATTCAAGATAATCAAAACTATTTTCTACAAATTGGAAAAAAGTAATGGTTACGTTACGATTTTGACAAAATGATCATAATCTTCGACCCCGAAAACCCCCAAATATAAATTTTGAATAGAATTGGTCGACAATTTAAAAACTCGTCCGCCATATTGAAACCGCCATCTTAAATTTCCCAATTTTGACGAAAGGTTCTGAATCTGCGACCCCGAAAATCCCAGATACCAATTTTGAATAGAATTGGTCTATAATTACGAAACTTGTCCGCCATATTTGATCCGCCATCTTGGATTTCCAAATTTTGAAGAAATAATCATTATCTCCGATCCCGAAAACCCCCTAAAATACCAATTCTGAACAGAATCGGATCATAATTGAACAACTCGTCTGCCATATTGTATCCGCCATTTTGATTCTCCTCATTTTGACGAAAAAATCATAATATCCGACCCCGAAAACCCCCAGATGCAAATTTTGAATAGAATCGGATTACAAAACTCGTCCGCCATATTGGATATCCGCCATCTTGAATTTTCAATTTGAAAAATCGTTTACGACTGATTCTCAGACCTACCGAATATGCACAATAATCTTCATAAGAATCGGCCAAGCCGTTCGGAGGAGTCTGGCGTCAAACACCGTGACAGGGACAGGAGAATTTTATATATTAGATTAATATTATGTATCAACAGAGTCAGTTATGCAATACACTCGATAGACTATAAAAAGAAAAAATGGCGCAATTATTTACAAAAAATCGCAATGACGCAAAACTAAGTTGAAAAGCGCCTTATTGGCAACACTGTTCCCCAGACCCAGAAAGAAGAAATGAATAAAAAGAGAACTGTAATGTTTGTATTAGTTCTTGAAGGAGCGCAGCACGGTAGTTTCACTGTGTAGCCCTCTGAAAGACAATAGCTGAACTACTCTGCCACTGTCGAAACCTTGCTAACAATATGGCGATATTGAAAATAGATGCAGAAACGTCAGAATAAATTTTACGCACAATACATTCCCAAACGACAATGTTCCAGAAGCTGATTATTTCATCAAAAATTTATTGAATTGCTAACTTAGGGTATACCAGGTTTTTTTTCGATTCTGTTACACAAACGTTGTAAATGTTATTGTTTTTCATTACCATATATTTTATTACACAAATCGAATTTCGCTGGAAAATTCCTTCATACCCTATTCTCAACCCTCGTCTTTAATATGTACCATCCACTTTTGCGCTTACACTTATAGTTTATTAATGATTTGGTACCAAACTGACCTCTGCATGGCAGTTTTGACTGATGCGCCCTCTTATTCTGTAACGATTTTCATTTTGATCTCTGTTTTTTAGCACAAGGAATTTATTTTCTATTTTAATTATTTCCACAAATGTCACTCATGTCTCATGTCAGTGACAAGGCTACTGGGTGATTCTTATATCTTCCCTACATCGTGTTCTTGTAGCAGTTTCCGGATGAATAATGATGAATTCGTGAACCAAGTTTTCTTCATGAAAAATTTTGTAACCATGCAACTCGTATATTGAAAGGCGATTAATGATCGCTTTGTTGGCACGTTGAAATATCTCGATATCATTAATCGCCCTCATCAATAACCTATATAAGCTCATTTATTGTTTTCCAGGAGGTGTGCAATATGTAATGTATCTACCATCATACACCAGTCCTTCCACCTCTGTCAACCAACCTCAGAACCAGAACTATGAAAACATCATCTTCTCACCTAGCTCCACTGACCACTCATCCTACTTACCAACTTCCTCTCAGAAATCTCAGTACTACCCGGCTCAATACACTCAGAAAGTAGAACCAATCAGCCAAGGAAAAACCCAGTACACCAAAGCCAACTTCAAGAGGGAACCCAAGAGTTTGCTGGATTCTTATGTGCCATCAAGTGTACAGTTGCAGTACTACAGGGCACAGCAAAATGCCATACAGGGTGGTAGCGGGAAGAGTGGGTCGAGATTCAGTTATCTTCCAAGTTACACCAGTTAAAAGGGGCATTTTTATTGTACATATGTGTTTTTAAGTTTTTTATGGAAGTCTGTTATATGAATGTGATTAGGCATTGTTGATAGGTTTTTTACAATTTTAGCAGGTAAGTATTTTATATTGGTAGTTATATTGTTCATAAAATACATAATTACCTTTATGGATTTCATTCCTTTTTTTTATATCATACCTACCTATTTCATTACTGAAAACAACTATAAATTTGATGGAATGATTCAAGATTCAAGAAAATATCCATTTTCTATTATAGGTCGCGATCTGTACCAATCTGTCACCAGTGACATCTCTCAATTTCTAGGTTAGCATAAAAACAGTTCAAATTTTTTCAATAGATGGCGCGGGATACGGGGAATGGTAAAAAAAGAGTAGATTCCTAAACATGATATCCGCTGTATGGACAGTCATGATCAGGTCGGCAGCTTACCAATGAACTCAATTACATACAGTTCATTGCAGCTTACTTGATATTTACTATTTAGCCGTCATTGGTCCGTACCAAGATGACTTTCCGGAGCCAACGAAAATGCAACTGTCCATTTATTATGATCGAAAACAAAAACCCCAGCTGACAGAAATCTGAACGGTTAACCGCTTCATTTTCGTGAGAAATCAAAGGATGAATTGCCGGTGGCTGATCAACAGGAATTCGCGAAAAAATACCTATAGAGACAGAAGTTGGTCCCGCTTTGAGGACAGCTATGATTCATATATGAGTAGTAGATATTAGTGAAGCCAAAAATATGAAACAAATGAATATCCATAAGGATTTGGTGGCATGATACGCATGCGCCATGCGCTATTATAGCAAGGTCTATTATAGTAGTCATCAAAGACATGCGTTTCGGTGGACAATGACGTTTACTAGCTCCTGTATGATCTAAGGATATTAGAGTTCCTTAAAGTACTTGACACTGCGCTGTTTTGACGTTTTTTGTAATATACAAAACAGTAGTGTCAAGCAAAGTGTCAAGTACATTTAGGAAGGGCAAGAGGAGAGGCACGAAATACACAGAAATGACAAAAATTTGAATTTCGAAAATAACATGACATTTGACATGTTTGAAGACGTTCTTCTTCTTTCTCACCTCATAAAATGATCACATATTATCCTTTTCATGTTTTTCTCAAGTCTTAATCTCATCTTCTTGTTGCCTTTGTACATTCATGAATATTTTCAGAGGATAATGAGCACTTCACTTGGGTATTTTTGTTTGTTTGTTGCACCTACAGTCACAGTACATAATATGTCGGTGAGATTAGGGCATGATAATGGCCGATACCGCCGATACCAAAGAATAAAAACATTGAAGAAGAAGCTTTGACAGCCAGCTGTTTTCTGTCATGATAGTGTCATCATGTGTCAACTATTGGCAACAACAAGTGTTCCACAATTTTTGTTTCTACAATTTTTTACTGAAAAAATCGAAATTTGGAATTAATTGTATGAAAACACAACTATCGAGAACCCTAGGCATGGAATTAATTAAAACTCCAAAGGTTTGCCAGTCAAACAACTCCTTCCATATACCTCAAAAATCCAAAATTTCAATTTTTAGGTGGAAAATGTTCGAATGCTGGATAGATACTCAAAAACGCCATCTCAAGGAACCCTTTATTTAACTGCAACTCATCTCATTTTCGTAGATCCAGATGCTAAAAAGGAAACATGGGTACAAAATTGATCCATTGTACTCTGCAATGTACACATTCAGTGCTTTGTTCCAGATACTACACATGCACATAGCTAACTTGGAAAAGCTGCCTCTGACGACTACTGGGTCACCTCTACTAATAAGAACCAAAACATTCCTTTCAGTTACTTTTGTAGTACCCAAGGAGAGAGATTGTCATGATATATTTGTTAGTCTCCAGCAGCTGTCTCAACCCCTGAGGTTCCAAGATCTGTACTGCTTTTCTTATACACCTCCAGCAGAAGAAATCCAGAGATCAGAGGGGTGGGGCTTATTTGACTTACAATCTGAGTACCAGAGAATGGGGGTGCCGAATGACCAGTGGTGCTTGTCAAATTTGAATGTGGACTATGAAGTACAAAAGCATCTCTTGTTTCCACTTCAGAAATCTGCAATCTCTTGTTTTCTAGCTCTGTGATACATATCCAAAGCACATTTATGTGCCAGTTACTGCAAGTACTGCTACTCTGTTGGGGAGTTCTAGATTCAGATCCAAGGGGCGTCTTCCAGTACTGTCTTACCTGTACAAAAATAAGGCAAGCATAAGCAGGTGCAGCCAGCCTTTGTCAGGTTTCAGTGCTAGGTGCTTGGAAGATGAAAAAATGTTGACTCATGTCCTGAGGACCAATCCTAATGCTACTTTTATGTATGTTGTTGATACCAGACCCAAAGTAAGTAATCTATTGTAATTCTCTTCTCCAAAATTGAGGAAAAACCTTGTTGTGAGAAATAATAATTTGATACTTATCCTCAAGAGGACTACCAAGGTTAATATTAAAAAATATCTGAGAAAGACAATACATTATTTCTATGAATGCTATAAATTGATTTCAGATAAATGCTATGGCTAATAGAGCAGCAGGAAAAGGGTATGAAAATGAGGCCTTCTATGAGAACATAAAATTCCATTTTCTTGGTATAGAAAACATCCATGTCATGAGGAACAGCCTCTCCAAAATTATTGAAAGTGAGTGTTGTTGAGAAGTTGAGAAAAAAGTGCAGTATTTCTTCTAATCTAGTTCTTTTTTCAGTTGGAATTTTCATACTTGGAGTCAGAATCTCTGATCTCAAAGTTTGAAATTTAATTTTTCTGATTTCAAAGTTGGAAATTCTGACTTCAGGTTTGATGTTTCATTTGTTAGAATTTGATTTTTCTGATATTAGGTGACTATTTCACTCATTACATAATCTGACCTAGGATTCTGACAAATCACAAATAAGAGACAACTTGTGTTATTGTGGAAATTTCAATATACATGTATTTTTTCTTTTTTCTTCTTCTAAAAATCAAATGTCTCTTCAGAAATAAGTAAATGAATAAGGTTTTTGGCTCCTCCATCATTCCTATGACATACTACCTAGAAAAGCCACATTTACACAGAGATGAGATGAAATACAATTCCCTTTGTCAATATGATTTTGCTGCATCATAAATATGTCTAGAATTCCGGAAATTGTCTTTGAATAAATCAAATTGAATATTTTATTCATTCAAAAGACCAAATTTAGGTATAGAATTTGTCAAGGTCAAAGTACAGTACATGTTTGTTTGAAATATGTATAAAATTTTGAAATTCCTCAATGTAAGTATGTAAAAACCACAAAAATTGAAAGTGTAAAAAAACAGTCACATAAACAATTCAAAGAAAAAAAACAAAAAACCCAAAGTCCGTCGACCACAACAAATTTTATTACAATAGACGTGTAACTAGTTTCGGCACTCGGCCATCATCAGACACATAATATAAAGCATCTGTAAGGAAACACAATGAAAAATTTACAAAAAACAACTGATGGGAGGAATCTTACCATGTGCAGCAATAATTAGTTTAAACCATTGAAATGGGGGTTGTCAGCCGGAAAAAGCAGTCCTAATTAAAAAAAAAGTGTGTTTTTAACCGCCAGCTTAGTTGCAAAGCAACCCTCGAAAGTCAGAGACTTGCACAATATAGCAGCTGAACAACCAGAAATAGCTGTTAACAATCTGGTTGAACATTAGAAAAAATTAATGGGAATAGATTGAAAAAATTTTTCACTAAAAAATTCATTGAGATCCTCCTATGTAGGCTGGTGGCCATAAGACAAAAACCAAACATGACTATCAGAGGGAGATACACATGACAAATGATTGAGAGATTGACATTTTTGAAATTGACATCAGACATACATAGACATTCTAAATCAAGCAAGGTAATTTGTAATGTGATGTATTTATTAAATCCTTCTTACTATCCATACAATAGAATAGACAAGTCAGCACAGCACAGGTAATAAAGAATGCTAAAGTACTAAATTATAAATAATATGAAATTACAAATAGTACAATGGACGAGTCAGAACAGGTAATAAGAAATACTAGAATAACTAGATTATATATGGAAGTCCTAAACAATTATACAAGTATAAGTAAAAGTAAATAGCAGAGGTACAGCACTAATATTTCACATAATTGGACAGGAACAAATGATTAGACAAACAATAACAATCAAATTACAGTGAAAACTCAAATAAAACTGGACAGAAAGTTATCAAATTCTTCCAAATTGTAAAAGCAATTTTGTATCAATATTTTCTTCAGTCTACATTTGAAAACTTCACGATTAGGACTAGCTAATCAATTTCGCGATTTCATAACAAGATGAGAATTATGCCATCCGAATCGATTCCCAGCACGAGCACGGAACTTTTTTAATATTTTATTAACGAATTAAATATTGTAATGTTTCGGAGCAACGGCTGGGGATAGTCCTGCACGATTCGCTGTCGCGTTCCAATTAACAGTGCTGCTCCTAAAGTGGCGCATGGAGTTAGTAACAAAGCCTGCACAGAACACGCAGAAAGAGATGATGATGATGTGGTTGTGAGCATCAGAGAAGAAGTAGGACGGTGTATATGTAGGTGGGTGTGGAAAATTACCAGCTGAGCGTGAGAGCGTGCCAATACTGCTTAGTGGACCTCGGTCTCTAACCGGGGTTAACGAGAAAAGCTAGGAGGCCTGCCACTGCAGCATATGGTAGTGCCGAAAAAACTCTGAAAGAGAGCTGATGGGCGGTGCCTGAAAAGCATGTTAGCCAGCTCTCTTAAACAAATCACATCACTCATCAAAAACACCTTGGGGCTTGCAAAAAGGTCCCATAGGGACTAGTTGCTGACGTGCAAACATCCCCCACCAGTACCGGTATAGTAGTAGACCCGATCACACCGATGTAGACAGCATTGACAGCAATGAGGTTATGTCTCGCAGATTATGACAAAATTACAAATACTGAATCCAAAACAATTATTAATTCTCATGGGGCAAAATTGAAACTTAACGAAAATGAATGTATATTCAATGATAATAAGTATTAAAATATGATTATTCAGTATAATAATCATCCATGCATTGTAATAAAACAAACAAAGATCACGTGAGCGTGCGGGAATATTGTCACACTGTTGGTTTTCACCTTCCCATTGCTATTCGCTATAGAAAATAACACGTCGCCCCACCTGACAGTAACAACTTCAACACTTCTGAGCGGTTTGATTCATGATATGACCAACAAACACAAACAAACACCAAATATGAACCAATAAAAGCAAAGTGAACAGGCCACTTTGACAGCTTTCAGGAACTCCGATAGGTGGCGTAAGCGTATTTTTTATCGCGAATGGTGATATGAGATACTTTCTGAGCAACAACACAGTGTGCTATGTGCTGTTTTAATAGGTGGTCGTTGGAAATAGTGATTTTCCTAACAAGTGCGGAAAGAAATACCGCACGCGAATGCCATTGACCCGAACCACGCGAAGTGGAGTTCGGGCCAGCAGTCGAGTGCGGGAAAGACAGTTTCCGCATGAGCTAGGAACAATATTTCTTCTACAAGCGTAGGAAATTGATTGATTCGTTCAATCAATTATTCCTGCAAATAGGAACAACTAACAATAGTGATATATTCTCTATCTTCTAATGATAAGTGATCTATTATGTGTACCGTTTGAAGCATTATGTAGGTAAGCTTATTGCGCAAGCCAGCATGCCCATGGTGTTTGGCCTCTAGGTTTCAGACATCTCTAGAAAACGAGCCAAAAATACTTCTTCTTTATTTGGTGTGTTCACTTTTTTACTATTGCACCATTCAATAAATCCTGTATAGTGCTTCTCATGCCTTTCTTAGGACTTCGTTGGCAATAACTCATCTGCCTGTCAGTATTTTAAGTGGTGTGGACGGACTCGAAGTATTATTGAGGAAAAAAATAACTGACAAGTTATGAATTAATTAATCTTTATTAATAATCAACTTCATTCAGCCAATGAGAGATTTATGGGAATTATTCATAATACTTGACACAGTAGGACTGATGAACCTATTATATCCCATTGCTGTTTTGATATAGTTATTATCTTGTTATTATGCATTAAAAGAACAATTTCCGAAAAGCTAGACATATTGATGATGTCGGCAACGTAGTACTGGCACAGGACATCGTATTTTATCTCTGTGTGAATGTGGATTTTCAGAAAGTACGTCATAGGAATGGTGGAGGAGCCAAGTTCCTCTTTTATTTATTTTTTTCTGAAGTGAAATTTGATCTTACGAAAGAAAAGAGAAATATGAACTTCACAGTGAGATAAGAACCTCAATATAGGAAACTTCCCCATTGCGTGCGGGTATAGGGTGAATCACGCACGCTTGTAGAATAAATAAATTTCGAGTTCAGAGTCAAAAATGAAAATTTTTCGGATCAGCTTGCGAACAGAGGAACCCGACGATGACGAGCTTCCTCAGCGGCCTGGAGTCCAGCAGCTGGCTGCGCCACGTCAAGGCCATCTTGGACACGTCGCAGTTCATCGCCGACGCCCTTTCCGAGGGCGTCAGCGTCGTCGTGCACTGTTCCGACGGCTGGGACAGGACGGCGCAGGTGTGCTCGCTCGCTTCCATTTTGTTGGATCCTTTTTACAGGACGCTTTCCGGATACCAAGTGAGTGGAAATGAAACGAGATAACCTCAATAAAGTATGGGCTGCGTGCAAGAACTGTCAGATGACCGACCCTGGAGGCACAACATTGAAACATGAGTTATTGAAATAGTTTTTCACAATCATTTTGACATACGAATCGTATTTTGAATCGTATTTTTCTGCTAATATTTATTAATTCGCTCATGCCATCACATTGTGCTGTTGTACAATGCACAAAAACTACAGTGGAAGACGAAGGAACCCGGTTGGTACAAATATGATCGTGTGTGTTGTAGACATTTTCAATCTATTAGCAGTATTAGCTTGCATTGCAGAAGTGGCAGAAGGAATTTGAATAAGGAATGACAACATTTCATAATGATAACTATGTGAGATTACTATTTACCTGAAAAATCATATTCCTTCGTCTCTCGCTGCATTTTTTGTGCTTTGTACAACAGCACAATGCGAAGGCATGCTTGAATTAATGAATAGCGCAAAAAACACGATTCGTATGCCAAAATATTGTGAAAAACTTTCAATCCTTTGATTCCTCTGTAAACAAATAAAAAAAGTGAGGTTGTGTTTTAATAATTCACAGAAGAGTGAGGTTGTGTTTCAATATTTCACCTCCTATAGATCGCGTGCACGATGACCGACCCTGGAAGTGAAATAACAACCTCACTTTTCTGTAAAACATTGAAAAAAACTTCACTTTTTTGTTTGTTTACAGAAGAATTAATATTTCGGCATACAAAACGTGTTTTTCGCGCTATTCATTAATTCAAGCATGCCTTCTCATTCTGCTGCTGTGCAATACACAAAAAATGCAGCAAGAGACGAAGGAATATGATTTTTTAGGTGAATAGTAATCTCTCATAGTTTTTATTAGGAAATTTTGTCATTTCTTATTTAAATTACTTCTACCACTTCTGCAATTGAAGCTAATAATACTGCTAATAAATTTTAAATGTCTACAACACACACGATCATATTTCGTCAGGATGTCAGACCAGTCCTCCCGTTTGAATCCAATCTTCTTGCATTCTTTTCGTAATTTCCCAAGTATTTCTATTAGCTCCTATTGCAGAAGGAATTCCGATGAGAAATCAGAGAAATTACCAAATTTCTAAATAAAAACTATATGTGTGACTATAGTAGGTACCTACTTTCAAATCATAATGTATTAACCTGATTCCTTCGTCTCTCGTTGCATTTTTTGTGCATTGTACAACAGCACTATGTGATAGCATGCGTGAATTAATGAATAGCCAAAACACACGATTCGTATGCCAAAATAATTGTGAAAAACTATTTCAATCATATGTAAACAAATAAGAAAAGTGAGGTTGTGTTTCAATGTTTCATCTCCAGGGTCGGTCATCTGATCTGACAGTTCTTGCACGCAACCCATATAAATTTGGAATCAGAAGAAAAGATATCAGTTTATTAGTTTTTATATTTACGATGCTTTTTTGCATTTTCTAGTACTTGATTCTGAATGCTCATAAATAAATTATTTTTGCCCATTTCAACGTTTCTGTAAGACCAATATCAACTGAGATTGCTATTGAGTGAATTATAAGCAATCACCCTGTACATCATCAGACCATTGGTGGGCCGAGCACAAGGGGATATCGTCGATTTTCGCGCAGATTTTCTATGCCACCAAAATGTTTACTGTCCCAATTCAAAATGACCTCCTAATTCCTAAGTGCATTCATTCTCGTAATAATAAATTTGGTCGAGTCCCCGCGTTCATTACAGAATGTATCGTTAGATCTTCGGTATTTCCAGAGGCTGAAGTATATATCCCCAGATCGTATGTATTTCCAGACGCTCATCGAGAAGGACTGGCTGTTTTTCGACCACAAGTTCTCCGAACGGTGCAGCCACATCCACGCCAAGAGATTCTCTACGCCACCGACATGTTTACTGTGCTAATTTGAAACGACCTTCTACTTCCTGAGTGCATTCATCTTCTCATAATGATAAACTGATCGAGTCCGTGCGTTCATTACAGTATGTATATTCAGATGTTTGGTATTTCCAGACGCTGAGTATATATCTTCCGATCGTTTGTATTTCCAGACGCTGATCGAAAAGGAATGGCTGTCGTTCGGCCACAAGTTCTCCCAACGGTGCGGCCACATCCACGCCAAGAACTTCTCTACGCCACCGAAATGTTTACTGTGCTAATTTGAAACGACCTTCCACTTCCTAAGTGCATTCATTTTCGTATATAAAATTTGATCGAGTCCCTGCGTTCATTACAGTATGTATCTTCAGATCTTCGGTATTTCCAGAGGCTGAGTATATATCTTCAGATCGTTTGTATTTCCAGACGCTCATCGAGAAGGACTGGCTGTCGTTCGGCCACAAGTTCTCCGAACGGTGCGGCCACATACGCGCCGAGAGCAAAGAGATATCGCCGATATTCGCGCAACTGCTCGACGCCACGTGGCAGCTGACGCAGTATTATCCTTCCGCCTTCGAATTCAACGACCGCTTCCTCTACGACTTGCACGACCACGTGCACTCGTGCCAGTTCGGCACGTTCGTCGGCAATTGCGAAAAAGACAGGCTGGACTACAGGTGAACACTCAGACAAAATAACAATATATAGACACCGCGATTCATTCATGAATCGTTGAAAAGTATACGCCAACAATCCTAAACGCTAGGCAGGGATAAATTAATTAAATCGCGAATGGTGGGGATAATAACACTTGTACATTTTTTGCGGTTGCGTGCTGAGACTAAATAACACTCAATAACAATAGATAGACACCGAGATTCGTTCATAAAGCATTGAAAAGTATAGGCCAACAATCTAATACGCCAAACACGGATGAATGAATAGAATCGCAAATGGTGGGGATAATAAGAGACACCTGTACATTTGCGGGTAAGTGTTAAGACTATGCCAGTTCGTTTGAAAAGCTTAACATGCTCAAAAATTCATGAAGATCGCGTAATCTGACGTAACTGATTTGATTTTTATGATCCAGTAGGATCATTAATCTCTTGCTCAACTCAAACACACACAAAGCAATGGCAACTTGCTCCAGTCGATCGAACACTCAATCATCAATTGCTCGGAACAAACGAACATCAAATATTGCTCACCTAACCATAGAGAGACACCGCGATTCGTTCATAAAGCATTGAAAAGTATACGCCAGTTCAGAATTGTTTAACAATTGAATACGCCAAACACAGATGAATGAATGGAATCGCGAGTGGTGGGGATAATAACAGACACTTGTACATTTGTTTGCGGGTGCATGCTGACTTTAGATAACAATAGACACCGCGATTCATTCCTTTAATCATTCTGGATTAACTTGAAATAATATAATATAAAAGTTAGGCAAATTAATTTTAGTTCAATTTATTGTGCTAGTATTTGACCTAGAGAAGCTACTGTGTTAGTGAAACATGTCATGTGATTTACAATTTGTGGAAATCATTTCGTTTGTAGAGTTTCTTACGTTTACCATAGATTTCCATCAAGTAACGGCCGAATCAATTGAAAAAAAAACTAATAACATTTTACATTATAATGTCCATATTGATGAAAGAAGAGGATCATATCAGTCGGTCCACTATGTCACAGAGGTTGAGGTTATAATCAGTTCTTATCTTTCAGACTGTCGGAGAGCACATACTCTTTGTGGGGCTACATGGAAAAACACCTCCAAGAATATAGGAACCCCCTGTATAGTTCCGAGGCAGGCCCTGAAATTTTGAATCCGAATTTGATACCTCAAAATATTAAGTGAGTCCTCAAAAATAACTATTGAACTGAAAACATTTTTCTCTTCGTTAAACCGAAGGTTTCAGCGCCAATAAATCCATTCCATTTGAAAATATTCAAATAATATAAAGTTTCTTGGGCTGTACCATGGACGTATTCCATGGGATGTACATAGATCAAAATTTGTCATGGTCAAAACATATTGAAATACTTAGAAAATGAATATCTCCAATAATAGGTACCTATACTTTTTAGGGTATGGAATCTTCTTGATCTATTCTAAACCTGAATATTTGATTTCTGTATGGGGATCAACAAAACTATCAATTATGAAGCCTCTCAAATTTATTCAAAATAAAATTATCAAATGTATATACAGACTAAATTATTTGGATCCTACTAAGAACCTTTATAGAAGAAGAGAGTTATTAGATATAGATTCACTATATAAATTCAAATTATTATCATTTTCTCATTCAGTTAATACTTGTCAAAAGCATTCAAATTTGGTTTTCCAAATAAATAGATCATTTTTGTGCCAAGAAAATTGAATCAGATATTGTTAAAAATCTACCTATCACAGTGGAATGATGCAATACAATTCATTACCAAATAACTTGAAGCTGATTAATAGTATCGAAAAATGTAAAAAGGAATTCAAGAAACATCTACTCCTGTAATATCGACATCTCATCTCATTTTTATAGTTTTCTCGTACAATTACTATAGCTTTCCATTGGGTACCTAACAGCTGAGTCAATTAAGAATCATTTTCAGTTGAACTTGAAAAAATGTTTTCTTCTTGAGTGTGAGTTTACTGTCTTCTTTATTTTGTCAAATATATTTACATACTCACCATGTTCTCTGATATAAACAAATGTTGTTTCTTGGGAATAATGAAGTTGATGGATTGATTGATTCCATTTGGGAATATCACTTCGTGAAATGATAGCCATTCACCTGCACAATGGATTTGGAACACTGTTTACGTATTTTTTCCATTGTGATTTTTTTCTTAGGTTCTGGCGAGGCATGTACTGCAGATTTGAGAGCGGAATCCATCCACGCGAGCCACAAGCCGATTTGTTATTGGCCACCTCTGATTACGCATCATCTTTGGACGAACACGTCAAATATTTGTCGAAGGTGAGTTGAAAAGCGTTTATTCATCCAGAAGAGTTTCAACTCTATTGAAAAAATTATCATGTATGCTGTATGTTATAGCCTTCGTATTCATCAAGGAAAATAGTATATTGTTTAACGAGCACGGAATGACAGTGAAATTAGCATTCCGTGCGAGTATACACTATATTTTTTCTACTGTTGTAACAGATAGCAGCGACATTTTCGATTTCTTCGTCTTGTAGCCATCTGATTTCCTCTCAAGTAATGCTCAGTAATGCTCATCTATTAGTCATTAGTTGCGTTTTATTTATTCGATTCCGCCACCAGAATCACTTAAATCTGTCGTTCCATTTGCAACTTCTCCGATACCGGTTGCTACTTCGCATTTCGCCTCACTACAAGGAATGAATGTTGACAGTTGTCAAGGAATTATATTGATTGACGAAAAACGAAACTTTTTGAAAGTTAAAGACATTTAAAAGACATTTTCATCATAAGTATATGATTCTCTCATTGTTCATTCCCAGATAAAATGAATTCTCTCGATCTCCGAGAAGAGTTTGCTCAATCACCACTATCTTTGCCCGAAATGTGCTTTGATTCATTTTCTGAATTCTCAAATCTAGTATTATGATTTTGAAATTATTGGGAGTCCCAATATATCATGAATATTACCTTTATCATCGATAATATGTCAATTCTCTCATGTAAGGTCATGAAGTTTGACGTTTTATTTGTAAACGTCATTCTGTTCCCACCACCCCTACCAGAATGAAACAAATAAAACGCAACTGTCGTGATATCAGGTATGGAAATGAATTTGATGACATACAAAGTACCTCATGTATTGAACACAGTAAAACAAGCGCAATTTTGTGTGATAGCCGTAGAAAATTCTTATTTATTCCATACTAGCTTTTACCCGCGTCTTCGCTAGCATTGATCTCCTGCAACGTGCAACTTTTGACCGTGACTAACTTCTAGACATAAAATGTTACGCTTCCGAGGCATTTTGAAGAACAGAGTAAAAATTAAAAGCAGCGAGAGGGCAGCGAGTAATAACCTGACACCTAACCTCAAAAAATGCATTTTGGTTGCATAGGTCGCGTGCTTATGTGTCAAATGACCGACCCTTGAGGTAAAAAAACTTCATTTTCATCATTTGTTTACGAGATTGAAATAGTTTTTCACAATTATTATATGAATCGTGTTTTTTGGGGTATATTATTAATTCAAGCATGCCATCACATTGTGCTGTTTTACAATGCACAAAAAATGCAGTGAGAGAAGGAGGAATAAGGTTTTTCAAGTAAATTGTGGTCTAAAACTGATAAATGTTTTACAATATCGTTCTCCCGCTCATTTAATGCTTCCTCATATAACTACAATATTAACAATACGATCCTTGAAAAAGTAACTGAAATTAAAGATCTTGGAATCATCTTTGATGAGCGTCTCACCTTCAAGAGTCAACTACTGAAAGTATCAGCATCTGCTAATAAAATGGTAGGTTTTCTAATGCGTAATACAAAACATTTTTCTTGTAACACAGTTAATACTTTATACTGCTCTCTTGTACGTTCCTTATTAGACTATGGTTGCATAATCTGGTCGCCACATTATAACTGTGATATCACACTAATTGAACAAGTCCAAATGAGATTTGCCAAGCACATTTCTTATAAAATGGGAACTTACAACAATTTCAATTATACAGATACTCTCAATGCCCTCAACTTAACCAACCTATCTATCAGACGCTTTCGGCTCGATAGTATCACCATGTTCAAGATTATCTCAGGTGTGATTGATTGTTGCGATCTTCTCAATATGATAAACTTCAATGTTCCATCATATTTCACTAGAAACACTGATCTTTTTACTATAAAAACTCATAGAACTAATTATGGGTTCTTCAGCCCACTATCACGTATTTTGCGTAATTTCAACATATTAAACATTGATCCATTTGTCCATTCCTTAACTGATTTTAAAAATAAAATTTGTATAGTTGATCCTGGCTCGATCCACAATTAATCTATACTTTAGTGTTAATTTCTAAAGGTTGGTTAATACAGGAATTTTGTTTTGTATCCTTCAAACCAAACCATATAGTTCAAATTTGAAATTTCAATCAATATCAATGCTATATTATTGTTCTTATGCCATCTTGTCAATCTGTAATAATTAACTATTGTAATGGTGAATCCGTTTATTAAATAAATAAAAATAAAAGTACTGTAGACGCTCTAGTCACTCACATATTTTTTTTCTTGGATGCTGGTCCTGTCACTGGCTACACCTCAGACTCCTGGGCTTTTTGTGCATTCCAGTATATTTTTCAGCACCCATTCCGTAGCTGTTATTCCTTGTACCAGTCTGTACAGGTTCTTCGCCGGTTGGCTGTTGTATTCTTCGGGAGTCACTCACATATAGTTCTCATTAAAAATTGTTGTGATTTTTTTCTCTAGAACGCCTTCTGCCACTTCTGCAATAGAAGCTAATAGAGGGAAAACGTCACATTTCCTCAGCATGTTAGAACAGTCCTCCCTATTGACTGCACCAATCCAAGCTTCTTGCCTTATTTTAGAAACTTCACAGCTCTTTCTATTACCTGCAGGATTCTAAAGAGAAATTACAAAATTTCAAAATGATATCTATGTGAGTGACTACAGGAGCAATGCCAAAATAATTCTGAAGTTATTTCACCTCCAGGGTCGGCAATCTGTCAAATGTGCACGCGACTCATGGATTATTTGTTGTTTCTAGATGAACCATTATGGTTACGCATAGTAGTAGTAGTAGGGCATAGGATATATAGACATTTCCAAAAACTGAAGTATAACGTATTCCTTTGGGGTTCGGCAGCGCTTGTCGCTCGTCAAATCCCTCATCTCCAAAACGATGGAGAAGAAGAAGAGCAGGCCGCGCCGCGACCAGCTCTGCACCAACGTCTACCTCGACAACAAGCTGCTGTACGGGAAAAACACTGGCTCCGCCCCCGCAGAGCTGACCAGCGCCAATCACGACCACCCGCTGAGAGCGCAGGAGAAGAGGGCGGCCAATCACGACCATCCGCTCAGATCGCAGGAGAAGAGGGGGGCGGAAGGTGGGCAGCTGTGCGCCGACGCCATTGTTAAGGAGATGGAGTCGGTGGCGGTGGATTGGAAGCCGATGCGGAATGTCACTGAGTGCAGTTGTTCGTTGACCTTGGATCAGACCAGCAAAAAGGTAAGGCATATGAATTACAATATATAGACACCGCGATTCATTTATAAATCATTTGGAATTATACGTCAACAATCCTGAACGCCATACACGGATGAATGAATGAAATCGCGAATGGTGGGGATAGTGAAAGGCACTTGTACATTTTTTGCAGGTGGGTAATCGGACTAAATAACAATAGATAGACACCGCGATTCATTTATAAATTATTGAATATTGAAAAGTATATGCCAACAATCCTATAAGCGCCAAACAAGGATGAATGAATGACATCAAGAATGGTGGGGATAATAACAGACACTTGTAAAATGTGTCCCATTTTTGATGCTTTCGCGTGATATCTCAGTTATCTTTGGAGATAGAACCTTGCGGTTTTAGCGGTCCTGCGCCACTTTTTTCTGAAACTCAAGATGGCCTAATCAGATTTTGCATATCTGTTTCCGTTTATGAGATACAGGGCGATTTGAACAATTTATATTGTTTGGCACCCCTCTATATCTACGAAATTGTCAAAACTCATTTCATTGAGAATTTTACGCAGAATCCAGTGGCGCACTCAACAATTTTTTTACGGGGTATGGTTTTGGAGACACGGCTCAAACTAATGCTTTTTTGAATGGAACACCCTTCATTTTATTAGCTCATCAAATTCCTTTTTTTTTTCACAACATTGAATTTTGATAGTGGGGTATGGATTTTTCATGTAAAAAAGTTCCAATTGAAGGAATATATCATTTGATTTTTCCATGTAGTGGACAAAACAAATACCAACACCAATTAACTAACAGAACACATAACTTAGGTACCTGATAACATCAAATAAATGGCAATAACAAGTTCATAATGTAGAATGAGCACCTGATTAAATATTTACTAAAACAATTGAATTCCAAAATTATTCACTAACTCATTCATTGAATTGTTCATCATCGACATCAATTTTTTTTTCTATCCAGTACGGGAATAAGACTCCTTCTAAAAGAGTCCAATTTGGCCCACCCTGTACAGTGTGCTTTCTCCTGAACGTAGGATTATTATTGACTAATAATAATCCCTTGAGATAATTTGCATAAATGTGAATATTGATATTTTTTTTTGCAATTGCATACCTCGTTGGTCTCGGCACTGGGACCAAACGCCCCATAAGTCGAAACTTGTGCGGGGTTAGGTATACATACAAACACAACATCCATGGCCTAACTAGGATTTGAACCTATGTCTCGGTGGGAGTCCCCATACGAACTCAGCGCCTTCACGCTCTCGACCACCGAGCCGCCTTCGACCACCGAGCCGCCTAATATACATTCACTTTCATTATTACTATTACTGGTTGGTATCGATCATTTGTAGCTGAATTTTCTGGTAATTTTCAAGACGCGGCTGGTTCAAAATTACGCTCGAGAGTCTGCCTATTTTGGTTATTGCTTCACCCAGTAAAAGGTTGAGGCATTGGAATATTCTGATATTGGGTTGAAGCTAAAGGTCTATTATTATTGTTTGGTTAATAGTGATAGTTCACTAAATATTGGAGTAGTGATATACTTTATCAACTCATTTCAACCCGATTTCATCACTTGATACAGAGTGAGTGAAATAATTTTAAAAAACATTAAAGATATATAAATTTGAATACATATCAACAGGGTTCCACAGTGGCAACCATGAATGAGTTTTCATAAAACGAATTCTCAGCCCTCGGTTTTCGGAATATGAATATGAAAGATGAAAATGGCAGCATTCAGTACAATCAATATAATACACCTACAAAAACCAAATACAATATTGAACTTATGAACACATAAAACATATAAACGATCATCCCTGGAAGACGGTCGTTCTCAGTCTCTCCTCAGCCAACTTGACAATCTTGTCCTGGATTTCCGGAAACGGTTTCAAAACATCCAAAAAGTCCGACCTGTTCAGCACGAACAACTCGCAAGGCGTGACCGCAACCACTGTGGCCACCCTAGGTTCGTTGTAGATCAGCGCGATCTCCCCGAAATGGGCGCCATCTTCCAGATGACAAATTTCTCTACCGGCGTACGTGTAAATCGCCACCGTCCCAAAGTAGATGAAGAACATGCAGGTACCTGCCACTCCCGCCTTGATGATGACGTCATTGGCCAGGTAGACCTCTGACTTGAGCTTCGACACGATCTTCCTCAGCACGTGATCGGGCAGGTCCTGGAAGAACTCCACTCGCTGCACGTGGTTCTTGGTCACGTAGACCAGGATCTCCTGCCGCAGTATTATCGAGATCATCCTGTTGATGTGCGCCTCGTTGTAGAACTGGTTCTGAAACCTATAGAATAAAATAGAATTTATTCATATCGACACAGCTACAACCATAGATGGATATACAGGGTGATTCACATAACAACCGACATAGGGCAGGGGCATGTTCCTATGCATATGCAGAAAGGATATTTTCCTTCCTCAACCCTCCGGCAAACAGAGTAACGGGTATGACCCGTCAGACAGTCTAGATATTTAGCCGTCATTGGTTTGAACAATTTGATACTTGAACAAACCTAGAGTCCCTGTACATACCTTAGACAAGAGTCCGGACACAAAACTGACAGCCGTTGGGGTTTTTAATATGTTGTTTCATTTGGTTTGCCCACCTGACAATGTGACGAAACACCATAGTCATCCAGCCTGCTTTTTTCAATTATTTCGAATTTCTGTCACTGTCACTTTGAAATTTTATGTCCCAATGGAGCCCTTCAAATTTCGTTGCGATATACCAGGTGGTTCAAAAATTAGTAAGGGGGGAACAGACTTTAGCGTTACCATCGAGACTCTAGACGGGCACTGTGTTTGCTGCCGGTTATTCGAACCCGGCCGATGGCCATCAGATAATTTTTCAATGGTTCAAATTGGTTTGTGGTAGCATTTCAGCTCCCTACATGTGGTTCTAAATCCACTATAAACTGTAAGTCCTCTTTTACTTTAACTTTCACAAGCCCTTCGAAGGTTTATGAGGGTTGCTTCGGCAGCCAAAGTGATAGGGCACAATTTACAATACAATAAAATACAATGAAATACACTAATTGTTATGAATACTGCTGTACCTGGTCACCATCGGAGGAATCCTAGATGGTATAGGTACCTGGATACTGATCTTAAGAATCTTGCAATTATAATTTCCATTATATCTACTATATAGTATATGTTAGATAAATATAAAAATCAATGTTTATAAGGCATATAAGTGAAGAAATATCTGATGACGAAAATTTGCAATAGTCATCTCAGGAATTGATTATGAAAATTATCGATTCGAAATTTGAACACCCTGTTGTTCATTATTTGAAAATCTAATAGTTATTCTAGTTAAAATAGACCTATTTCTCACTTCTACCTACGGCTATGAACGGTTTGACAAATAATCTAACCCTCAAAATTGTTTCTGACAATCATTGATACTAGGGGAATTGAAAAGACAGAGCTGGATATATATATGTCTTATTCCTTTATTCAATCATCAATGCATTTGTTGAAAACAGAAAAGGACAAAAGTATAGCTGTGTCCGGACTCTTGTCTAAGGTATATACAGGGACTCTAAACAAACCTATAGTTTATCTACCAATATTACCAATTGAAAAAATGTAAAAATAGTGCATGAACCGTAATGACAATATGTACTATAAAATGTGTAAACAAACGGATGAATCACAGAAGCTTGAAGGTATTTCCACTTGTGCGTGATATAGAGAAATAGAATTAATATGAAGATACCATTACAAACAGATGAACAATATAAATGAGATTAATTAAATGAAGATGAAAGGTATGATTATAATGGAGAGAATGAATGGATACATGATGAATACAATGAATAAAATGAATAGGAGCAGCTTTTCTTATATTTAATGTTGAAAACTAATGTTTGCAAAACGTAGTCACAATTTGATCCTCTATCAAGAACCAGTTATGTCTCCACTGAAATTTTGTATCCATATAAAATCGACGCATGACATCTTATTTTTGGTTGTGCCGAAGACTAAATCGTCAATGTCATTCGTGGTCAAGTCACTGAATAGCATAGAATCTGAACGGTATCTCCCATGCTGTAATGAATTTGCGCCTTTGAAGTACCCACCTTATGTTAGTTTAGATAATCATGATTTTCATCTCATCATCTAAATAATCAAGAGTTACTAGTGCCAAAATAGTTTAGACACAAAAGAATTGTAAAGTTGAAAAATTTCGATTGTGAACACCCTATATCTCTGTAATCATTGCCTCTAGACCTCAAGTATGATACATTGATTGAATCAGCTCGTCAAGGAGAATTTTAGAATGTAATGAAATACAGGGTATCCTTTTGAAAAAATCAACTAGTACCCTGTAGATCGTTTGTTCCGAGAACCCTGTAGTTTCTGATGTAGCGAAAAAAAAATCTGAAAAATCATTTCAACTGATTTTTCAAATTTTGAAATCGGTTCAAAAACAAGTGAGCTAGAGGGGGGTAGGGCATTTCTGGTGAATCACTCTGTACCTACCTGAACTGGTAGAAGGCGAAGAACTTCTTGCGCAGGCTCATCGGCAGGTCCTTGTACTTGAGGTACTCGGTGAACTGCTGGAAGAGGCTCTCGTTCTTGCTCCGCGCGTTAGAGAACTTCACCCACACTTGGAGGATGAGCGTGTAGAGAAACAACTGCAAGCAGTAGCCTACTGCCATGAAGATCAGCGATACGATGACCTTGAGGAGAGTTTCTTAATTTACTTGACACTCTTGTTTTGACGTCTTTTATTTGTTTTATTTTTACCAAGAGGAAGAAACTCAAAGTCACTACCACATTAGTTCATAAAATGAACGAAAATGGTAGATAATTGGAGAAAAACAACTACTTTCCTTGCTATATGCCACGCAGAATATTGAATTACATCCTCCCGAAATCTATGCAACAATTCGTATAGACGAATACAGCTGCAAATGATCCTTTCCTTAATGCCGAGCTGTTCCCAAATTGCTCACACATTATTTGACAAATAAAAAGCAGTATGTTGAAGTGAATGATACTTGTGGCTCACTAAAGAATATTACATGTGGAGTACTACAAGGATCAGTTTTGGGAGCAATTTTATTTTTATTTTATATTAATTCAATATCAACTCTGAATTTGAATAGAAAGCTAAAATTATTTGCGAATGATACAACATTCATTTCGTAAGAATTAAATGATATCGAGCGGGATATCAAAAGTGATTTGGAAAACATATCATCTTGGATGCAAATTCATAAGTTGACTCTGAATTATAACAAATCATCATATATGTATATCTCCAAGAGATTAGCTAATATTTTGAAAACTTTCAACAACAGATTCATTGTATATACTGACGTGACAAATTGTTTAGGTCTCTATATTGATGAAAAATTATTATGGACTAACCATATAGGCTATTTGATAAATAAAATAAATCCGATCATAGGCATTTTATTCAAAATCCGAAATATCATTCCCATAAAATACTTGAAATGTATTTACTTTCGCCTCATTTATTCAAAATTTGCAATATTTAATTTCTATTTGGGGGAGTACAAATATTTCACGCCTAAAACCACCAATAAAATTACAAAACAAATCAATTAAATGCATTTTTCATCAACATTTTCTAGAACCAACGGTAAATTTTTACAAACCTAGACATTTTCTGAACCTGATTTCGTTATATAAACATAAAATATGTTGTATTATACATTTTGCCAGGAATAAATTGAGAATATCAAAATTTAGCTTTTAATGAAGTCAATACAGTCCATAGTTATGGGACTAGAAAATTGAATTACTTGATAGCAAATACATTCAAGTCGAACATTGGCAAACAATCTGTATTTCACAATGGAATAATTTTATACAATTCCTAACCAAATGAGTTGAAAAATATACATGATATAAAAAGGTCTAAAATCAACCTTAAAAAATACTTGCTCAGGACAAATTTAATGAAAAATATGTGGCATGATTTGATTACTCAGAAAGTAAATGTAATAACTTTCATCTTAAGAAACAGACTCCTAGGAGTCGAAACATGTAGCACCTATTATTTTATTAAAATTCACTTGGAGTGAGACTTTGAGTTTGTTCTCTTAATTATTTAATATTAATTTGTTTCCACTGAGTGGAATCCATCAATTAACCCTATATTATATTTTTTTATGTATTCATGTATCCCTATAAATCAATCAATCAATTTCCATGTAAGTACTAAGTAATTGTTGCATCTATATCCTAAGTCAATACCGATTCTTCTAGAACTATGATACTTTCTATTGTCTGATGATGGGCTTGAGCCCGAAATTCGTTACGATTGATATTTGATCATTCTAATAATCGTTGTGAACATGACTTCGGGTTTTTATCTATGAACTACACCACTCCACTTTGAGTTACCATGGGCTTCTTCCAATGATCAAAATAACTTATTCAATTCCTTGTAAATAACTGAGAAAAGTGAGGTTGTTTAACCTCCAGTGTCGGTCATCTGTCAAATATGCACGCGACCTACATACAAAAACGTCAAAGCGAGAGTGTCAATTACATTTAGGAACTCTAACCTTGAGGGGGTGGCTGATGGTCTTGTCGCCATAGCTGACGTGTAGCAGCATCAAAGTAGCCGAATAAAAGCACTTCATCAGCTGCTTGTTCCAGTCCCTGTCCTCGATGGGAATGAAGTTCTTCTCGATCATCTCTTCTATTTGGAATATGATGATGTAGAGGTAGAGGACGAGCATGACGAAGAGAAGGACGGCTCGGAAGGCTCGGTTCAGGACGCTGGATAGGTTCGCGTACAGCCTGAAGAGTTCCAAGGCGTCCAGCCATCTTTTCATGCGGAGTATTCGGAAGCCTATGAAGCCTTTCAGAGTTACTGCCAGCACGAATGTGTTGTTCTCGAATACCTCGTAGTCGTTGAAGATGATTCTGCAAAGGGAAAAAGCGATTGTAACCATAGACATATAAAAAGAGGGAAGACGAAATTGTTAACATTTTATCCCGAGCCAACATCGTTTTCAGCAGAAAACGATGATGACAAATTCATACTGATTGGCCTAGATCTACCGCCTGTGTTTGAAAACGAGGGAAGCATTAATTATACAGGGTGTATCTGAATAACACCGAAAAAAATTGAGAGGTGATTCTGTGATGAAAATTAAGGTGGGTGTTTGGTATTTTATTTTAAAAACCTCTCCCCGAAGAAGTTCCACTCTTCTGAAGATGTTTTTTTTTTTTATTTCTCATGTATATTGAGCCAAAGACACGAAACTTGGTAAAGGTTATATGTCAATAAAACTACACATTTTGTAATGTTTTCAACCCTGAAGTATGCTCAGAAGCAGTTGAGATATTCAACCCTCAAGATATTTTGTCTTACATTTTTTTTTGACAAAAAGTTTCTTTCAAGAAAACATGGCAAATGCTTAAGTTTTCGAAAAAACTTCCAGAGATATAAAAGTTAGTAAATAAATTGGGCTTTCCAGCCACGTTTTTACTAAAGAAAAAATTCTCATACAAAAAAAATTGTCAGAAAAAATACCTTAGGAGTTGAATAATCCATCCACTTCTAAGCATACTTCAGGGTCGAAAAGATGTCGGAATGTGTATTCTTATTGACAAATAATATTTACCAAAACAAAAGAGAAACCTTTTTTTTGTTGATCTTCGAAGGGGTATAAAATTTTTGCGGGGAGAGGTTTATCATATAATGTCATTCCAAATACCCACCTTCATTTTCATCACAGAATTATCCCTTAAATTGTTTCGGTGTTATTTAGATACTCCCTGTATAATGCAAAATTTTTAATGTATGTTGATTCTGTATGTTTGTTTCCTAATTGAAATATGCGAGTTATTCTATTGAAATAGTTGAAATTTTCCTAATCTCATTATTACATAAAATAATAATGTATTATGGAAATAACTGTGGCAACGCTGTATAGGCGTGTTTACTACGAGTGACGCATATTTCTCTCAAAGTCATTCACGTAGGTATGTCAAAAGCCATTGATACACTGTTGTTGTGCTGTATTTGTTACATTCTAGGACTTTTTGTGTTTCAATTCTCAGTTGTTTTCTTGTCATGAAAGTATATAAAGACAATTATTAATAGTCTATTATGGTACGCCAGTGCGTGCATTGTTAAAAAGTTCACCATTAAAACCTCAAATTGGTATTTCGACGGTAAAGTGAGGTTATGTTTTTTTTTTACTTGAGCAGTGGTGTAGTTATATCGGGTTATTCAACTAAATTATTGCAAGAAACGTTATTTTTTTAAATTCCACTAGATGATGGATCAAAATTAGGTAAGTATCGGAGGTACTACGAATATTTCGTATCAAAATTAAAAGATTGGACCCAAACAGTTTCTAATAGGTATAATAGCGTTGTCATTGTAGTAAAATTGTTTCGCCACTTGCTTAACCTACGCAACGCAGTTTCCAGCGTTTCCATTGTTCAAAGCCATCTCTTTCTAACTTATTTGAAACATTGGAGGTACCTATGTATGATTGTAAACAGATATCGTTTTATGAATGAAATGTTATGTTGTGGTTATGTATCCCATCTTTTTATATGTCTATGATTGTAACGCACTGGATTAGTAGAAGGTAGAAAAAACCATAGAAATCATATCATGTATACTGACACTATAATGCCAATGCAATAGATCAAAAGTGTGGCGTAAGGTATGTGCCGATCGTCAATTCATTCATTGTTCTGAATTAGTAAAATTTGTGTCTCTTGTTTTAGTCGATCCAAAATAAATTTGATAAGCACTTTTTTATCAAAAACTTAATAAGCATAATCCTAGTAAATTACGAGAAATGAGTAACACCCTTGTTCTACCACCACAACACTCAACAAGAACTCATTTTATGCTCATTAAGATTGTACAAAAAAATACTTCTGCCAGCTGCAATCACAAGCACTTCTGAAGTTATCAGCTTCCCAAACTCAAACACACATGTACAAAAACTAACAAAACGATTGTCTTCTGGAAAGATAATCAGCAAAAGAACGATGTAGATGATCTCTCAAATCGTTATCGAAAAAGTATTATGAAAACTCAATATTGAAACCGTCTCTGCAAAACGCGAATGACAATGAACAATGTCAGTTGTTATCAGGAATAAGTGTCAAGGTTGCCGAAAAATACCTGATAGTAATCAGTTAACTTTTTCAACGGATTAAAACTGTGAACAGTCGACATACAAAATAGTGGCACAGTCTTCATGTACCCTCAGAATTCTGTACAAAACATGTGAAATATCTAGTCTAATCTCGATTGAAATAGTTTTTTCAATAACTCTTTTGAAAATCTGGCAACATTGTAGTTCAAGGAACCTAAAACTGAGCTTGCGCACATCATGAAACAAGTCGTATCTGCGACACGCTTTTCGCTGTAAACTTGATGGGAATTTGCATTCTAGTGTCAGTTTATATAGTATGATTTCTATGGCAGGAACTCACCTGATTGGCACCAAGTAGGTATGCAGGCAAACTATCAAATCGAGTACGAAATAAGTGCGCAGGTACCTCCTGGCTATCAACGGGGGATGCAACACGGTCTTGTTCTCTTGCGGATCGTAGTAGCCCGTGATGAACGTCTTGATGATATCGATGGTCATGATGTAGTCGAGCGATATCTTCCAGAGGACCATGGCCGTTGGTCTCCGGAAGTAGACGTGTTTGGCCGACACGATGGCCAGAGTGACGAACTGCGCCGTATAGATGATGAAAATGAAGAACTCCCAGTAGAGGGCGAACAAACTGTAGGGGTGGATCATCCAGCGATAGTTGGCCAGGTGCCTGGACCAATATCATCAATAACATTTCAGACAACAACATATAGACAGCAATGGGCTTATATCACAAAAAATTTTTATTTCATAATTCGATAGGACTCACCCAAACTAGCTCACCACCGCAAACCGTTTCTTGCTGTGAGCTCCCTACGTTTTATAAAAAATGATTGAAATCCCTGATTTTTCGGACCTCTGAAAACGAGGCGATGATGTGACGTCAAAACCCTAATACTAAAACAATACTATTCCAGAAAGAGATGAATGAAACATGATTTCTGAGAGAGTGAATTAGCGCGAGATCACAGTTGGAAGAATTAATATATCAGTTGCCTCAGTCTTCGTCGGGCGTTTGGTATTTTCTTTTAACTATGGCGAGATGAGGTTTCTACGTCATAAGAGGGTCCCCGTTTTCAGAAGGTATTATTATTTATGACCAAAAATAAAACATTCCAGTTGATTTTTCGATCGAATTAGGTCGTCAATCATTATTTATGTATAAAAGAATCATTATAAACATGGTTTGAGTTAAAAGTTCTACTAAGGTGTACACGCCCATTCAGAATACTGAGGGATATGAGAAATCCATTTGAATTACCAGATGTGCTAATTCGTCAGATATACCAAAATAAGATTGAACAAAAGATGCAGCACGAGATTTATGTAGTGCAATATCAGGATTCATGTTGCCAGCAGATAGAAATACAACAACATACCCTATTATAAGTTATAAAGATAGGGACTTTTTCTTTCTTATAGTAGAAGTATAATATACAGGGTGTTTCACAGTGGATGGAACATTAGAAGTATCTGGAGAACAGAATGACAGATCATTCCGAAGATTTGTGATCGTGGATAATGAAACATGCTCTATCCGTTTAAAATAATTTCAAGAGTACAGTGTTGCCGGTTGTATCAGAAAGTAGTAGCTACTTTGTTATTTCACCCCGTATATTATATCATTTTTCAAATCCTTATAACATTTCTCATCTTTTCTTGGTAATTCCCTATACCTATCAGTAACGGTTTTCGAGTTAATCATAGTTTTGTCCAATTTTTCTGCAAAAACCTGACCATTGAAAAATAACAATTTTTTACCAATGCAAATTGACAAAATATTGCAATTTGGATTAGCTGCATAAGACCATCAAATATTCTGTCGATGCACTGGATCTCAGTTTCAGTTTACAGGGCTCAGAGGTAAGTTTATTCCGGGGACTCATAAAAATGAATGAAACTCAGTTTTTTTAAATGGAATGTCCTGTATATTGTTAATTATTCTGAAAGCTGTACCCTAGAAGTTTGTAACATGATCACCGGAACACCCTGTATATCCCTAAAATGGTGCCCACATTCATTATATCTCCACATCATTTTGAAAGTAATCACTATTGCTTGCTTAACAGAAACTGGCCACTCATTGGAACTTTTGCCAAATATAGAGCCATCGTGGTTGCGACATTCTAGTGTATTTTTGAAGAACGGTTCAGTATCCATCAGAAGGAAAAAAAAAGTTCAGGAATAACAACACGAGATATTTTGAATTATTTTTGAATGACGGGAAATTGAGATGTCACTTTTGGATGCGCACTCCTTATTCCATTTATGATCATTTATCAGCACTTCTTAAGTTTGGAAGTTGGTCATCTTCTTAAATCTCAAATGTTAATTCATAAGTCTTAAATGGTTTTATAACATAACCAATGATATTTCCATGTTTCATTTGTCATGAGTGATAAGCCTTAAATGTTGAGTGATAAATCTTAAGTCCTAAAGTTTTTTATAAAGTGGCCCTTACTGAATAGACCCCTAATTAATACCACACTAACACCATCCAGTGACTCTTATATGGTGTGCTACAATCACAGAACTCAAATACAATCTTTATAGACGTAACTTCCAGCGAGTTCAGAGTTCCATGTACAGACTTGCAGTGACGTTTTGCGCAGGAAAGACGTTATTAGATGTGAGTAGCACGCCATATTACGTGCCGTATTGCCGTGGACTAAACCATTATTATAAATTTGTTACGTGCCTGATTTCCTCGCGAATCCTGGCTGTCATCGACTTGTAGTAGACTACCGTCATGGGATGGTCCACATTGATCATGAAGAGGCTGTGCAGCTTCCTGCGCAGGTTGATGAACAGGCCGGTCTCGATCACTTGGTTCAGGATGCTCACTTGAGTGGTGTGGTGCAATTTGCAGTCGTGCTTTTCCATTTTGGATCGTGGAGAGCGACTGACGGATTCGATTGAAAAGCGATTGACAGGTCAGCATAAATATGTCAGAGCGCCTTTGTTTCTTTTTCCAAAAACAGGGCGATTCCAGGGTTATTAATGTATACCGGGTGGCGATTTTACTAAATATACTGTACGCTAGCACAAACCACGCCCACCGTAATATCTAACCTATCCCTGATTGCAATATTTTTGAGGAAGGAAAACCGAATGGAGTGTAGAAACACATTGATTGATAATGTATTTCAAAAGTTGAGTTCTTCAACAAAATTGAATAAAATGAGACTGTTTATCCTAAACGCACTAACCTATTTGACTTCAAATATTTTATGAAAAAGGAAAACCAGAATGGAGTAAAAAAACATTGGTGAAAAAAAAAGTTGCAAAAAAAAGTTCAAGTTCACAGCGATTCGAACCATGGACCTTCAGACTAAATGTCGACAGCGCTAACCAGTAGACCATTTGGGTATATGAATTTACTGCGTACAAGAGATTGACAACGAGAGAGCTTCAGTCGAATTCGTGTCAAAATCATAAAAAGTGTATTCTTGCGTTGGAGCACAGTATATTTAGTGCGATGTGCTGACTCCGAGTATATCGGTAATGTTTGGAGATATGACGTATTATGGTGGGCGTGGTTTGTGCTAGCGTGCAGTATATTTAGTAAAATCGCTACCGGGTGACATAGAGAATCGGCCCACCCCTGTAACTTCTGCATTCGTGAACGGGTTTATATGAAAGGACCCCGCACGAAAACATGAGAAATTGGCTCTCGGTCGGATCGGCTGAAATGTAAAAGTTTTTTTCTACTCACATAACTAAAATGGCATTCAGCGTACGGATATGTACCACGCTAAATGATCGATTAATCAGTCAGTCGCTCGAGTCCTGTCCCGCCTGTCAATTATCAGAAAAAATGTACCACATTCAACACCTAATGTAGCACTATTTGAAACAGTAAATAGGATGAAAATTACTAGACAATTTTTTTCTTTCAAAATACTCACAGTAAAAACGTAGCATATGAAAACTAGAGTCCCTGGATGGTATTGTTTGATAAGAGTTCGGACACAGCTGAACTTTTGTCCTTTTCTATTTTCTATAATACAATGGTTTAAGTGAATAAAAGAATAAGACATATTATATTCTGCTCTTTGTCTTTTCAATTTCCCTAGTAGCGCATGATTATCAGATACGATTTCAGAGGTTATATCTCCAATTATTGGTGCATTGAGAAGATGTCCCAAACTTGATATTAAAATTGCAAACATGATTCTCTACTCTCATATACTGAGTCGTATCAACTATTTAATAAATGTTTGGGGATCTTGTTCAAAAAATAATTTCAATAAAATATCAACATTATATAGAAAATCGTTAAAAGTATTGTATCGTCTCCCATTTGATACACCAACCAATTAATTGTATGAAATAACAAATACGTATTCTTTAGATGAAATATATAGAATTGAAACTCTCAAAATATCATATAATATCATAAATAAGAAATTGAAGTCGAATATTATTTTGATACGGAATTCTGAAATTCATAATCATGAAACTAGACAATATAATTTGTTCCGCCGCTAGCTCCCTAATCGGACAAAAAAGATTCACTCATTCAGCCTTAACTTAATTCAATAAACTACCTGATAATAAAAAAAATTGCAGAAATATAGGTATATTCAAAAATGAAGTAAAAAACTGATTATTTCTGAGCGGACTGGATAAAATTGATCATTTTTTTTACAAATATTATTCTTTGTTTGCCAATTTACAGTTCTTGATATATTTTGAATGATGCTATGTTTACCTATAGGTATATAATTATGTACTTCCTTATACCAGAGCCTATTCTGTCTGGAAGTTATTTGTTCAATAAATAAATAAATAAAATACATTCCACTCAAAAAAAAAATGAATAAATGATATCCATTTTCTTCAGAATTGGCACAATTTATTACACAGCAAGTAATTCCCATAGCTGCTTTTATCTCAAATAAAGGTCTCAAATGTATAATTATGAAACAGTATTTCAATTCTGACATTTATAAAATGTATTGTCAAATTCAAACAATTTTGAATGGAAAAGCGCGGGACGACTATGGTGCTCTTGTTACAATGCAAGGTGTGTAACTTAATAAATCTAAATATTCAAAAACCCTTACAATTGTCATTTCTGTGTCCGAACTCTTATCAAACTAATAACATCCAGTGACTTCGCAGTTTCACTGTTTCACATACTACATAGATCATGCACATTTTGGACCTTTCATATATCTTACTCACTCTTACTTATGTTTCCGAACACAAAGAGACATGACTCGATGTCATGAGCCGCTTTCAATTTGAAAATGTGTTATTCCTGAAATGAACTGGTACTAACCTACACTTGAACTGAACCAGGATGTTGTAATTGGAACATAATTTATATCCGAGTAATTTAGTGACATTTTTTTGACGGATTTGGCTCGAAATTTGAATTTGAATTTTTGATTGTAGTATTTTCATGATGGAAAAACTAGAGTCCCTGTATATACCTTAGACAAGAGTCCGGACACAAAACTGACAGCCGTTGGGGTTTTTAATATTTTGTTTCATTTGGTTTGCCCACCTGACAATGTGACGAAACACCATAGTCGCCCCGCCCGCTTTTTTTAATTATCACTGTCACTTTGAAATTTTATGACCGCCAAAATTTAGCATTTCAAATTATTTCAATGTCCTGCTGCGTACATTATTGCGATAATTCATTAGAAAATGGATTCAAGTTATTCAATTCTCCGAATGATCCTTCAGAGACAATGTCATGAATGGAAAATTAATTTCAAGAAATCCGCAATATGTGAGGTAAATATTCAAATTTACTTGTGAAAACAGTACAAAAAGGATGAATTTTAGGCCCATTTTGATAAAGATTTTTTCAAGCTGATGGATTTCAAATTGAAAAAGTCTGCTGTGCCGTCAATTTATGAAATAGAGACGTTCAGAAAAAGAGTCCCGTCGTCATCGTATTGGGAATTACTGAATGATACGTTCGCAGAGAAAGACAATGAGAATGAGATGATGCGGAGAGGAATTGAAAGTTTGAAATCAAAACTAGAAGATTTAGGGAAACTGCAATGTGCTATATCATCAGAGTCCACGGTGTTATTGATTCAGATCAAGTTCAAAATGTACAGGTGAATGTAGACTGCAGGAAGAGGTGGGAAACACAATTAATAAAGCACTCGCTATCAAATATATTGTTGTTTTGATTTTGTCACTTTTATTTCTGATGAGTGTCATTAAATTGGGAGAATCGGAGAAAATAATATTGAAACAATTATATATCTTCTATTTTTTTATATCCCAACAAAAAACAACTATATTTTCTTGGCTATATGTGATACCACGTAGAACACTTGAATTATCATTCTTATATCTGATGAAGTGAAGGAATATCTGATGACAAAAATTTGCGATAGCCATCTCAGGAATTGATCATGAAAATTATCGATTCGAAATTTGAACACCTTGTTGTTCATTATTCGAAAATCTAATAGTTATTCTATAGTTAAAATAGCCCTATTTCTTACTTCTACCTACGGCTATGAACGTTTTGACAAATAATCTAACCCTCAAAATTGTTTCCGACAATCATTGATACTAGGGGAATTGAGAAGACAGAGCTCGATATATATGTCTTATTCCTTTATTCAATCATCAATGCATTTTTTGAAAACAGAAAAGGACAGAAGTATAGCTGTGTCCGGACTCTTGTCTAAGTTATATACAGGGACTCTAGGAAAAACTAGTGTACTGTCTCATCTCGCACATTTTATACTAAATAACCGACAGGAAATGATGCTGAAGCAAATTGAAACACTATAGAGTAGGTAATGAAAGTTCTGATGATTAGGCTGAAGTTGATATAACGATGAAGAAAAAGAATTTGAATACAAAATGAAGATACTGTGTTGTTGACGTGCCTCAAGCTTTAGGGTGTTTTGTATTTGATAACACCAACTATCAGTGATGAAAAGAAGATAATTAATTTAATCGCTATTTTCTACTAACACCTAATAAATTATACTTCTGTTTTCAACAAAACCAAAAATAATCATTTCAAAAGACAAACATACATCTGACGCGTCTGACAGTAACTTGTTTGTTCGACATATACCTGACTATTTTCGATTTTCTTACCCTATTGTGAAAGCTGGTGCTCGAGGGGAAGGGGGTAGGTAGCATTGATCAGTTCGAGTGCTCCAAGCTCTTTGTAATGGGAACGCTGTTGATCAGTTCAAGATCTGCTCGGAGTTACTCGGTGCTACTCGCTGTGGCGCGGCTATGAACGATACTTTGGGCGTTCCTGCGCATTGAGCAGAAGCGTTTTCAGGCGTATAATTTACCCGGGATTTTCGGATTGCTGAGATAAATATCACAAGATGTGTAAATTTGACATACTATCAGTCTAGATAGTAGTCATGCCAGTGATCAGTGTGATCACTATTCATGTGTTCACCTATTCTGACAACTGTCATACCTCAATGGCCCGAAACATAACATAAGCTCTGTGTTTTGGTTTTGTATTGAAAAAAAAACTGCAAGTCCTTTTTATCTTCTATTTAGCGGTTAGGTATAAATTACTAAACAACCACTTACGCAATTTTTAAAAATCAAATCACAGAATTAGACTGAAAGATATTTGAGCAACGCAGGTGTCATCACTGTTAAAAATAGTGTATTATACACGGGAAAAATATTAGATTTTAGCTCACGGTTTTTTTACACAACCTGGAGCTAAAATCACCTACTTTTTTTCCTTGTATAATAAATAAGTAGGTATTTATCAGTATAAATAAGACAAAGTGAGCTATGAAATGTATTGATCGGAACTCATAAACATGTCTACTTATAATGTCTCACCAAAATATAACTTGTTGATTTTGGAAGTGCTAGAATTTTTTTTCCGAAAAATGAACTTTTTGACCGTGTCTCGTATAAACCCTGATTTACTATAATTCATGTGATTATAACTAGACATGTTAATGAGTTCCGATCAATACATTTTGATTGATTGTTTTTTTCTACCCCGATACGACGTTTGTACGAACTTTTGTGCATACAAGTGCATATTATGAATATGTCTCCTAACTTGCTTCGTTTTTAGGGTACAAGGTGTCGAAGGTTGAATAAATTTTTTTTATTAATCCTTAATTTTTAAAATCAATACAAGTGCTAAACTTCGCAACATTTTGTAGTAGCTCATGAATTTACAAGAAAAATGTATTGAAAGCAACAGTGGATATTTCTCAAAAGTGGCCCACAACTATAACTTTTTTGTTTCTATAAATGAACGAATGGAATTCGGTGTGTAAGTATAGTACATTAATAGACATTATTTGACGTATTCAATTGTTTTCTATCACTTCCGTTTTGACCAGAAATTACCAAAATTTTCTTATTCTAAATGGGACACCCCGTATATTTTCACATATTCCGATAGAGAATAACATTGCGAGTACAATGACACTCTATTTGCCACTTTTTGAAATTTATCATCCTGAAATTTTCATTTTTCAATTTTCAATCTAGAGTGATTATGGTACTAGATATTGATTTGGAATATCGATTGTGTAGTATTATCGTGCTCGTAACAAAATACCCTTTTCCATTTGAAAATATTGAGTTAACATCATAATTACGATATTGTAAATTCTGAATGAATTTGTGAAACAAATGAGAAGTAAAACTACATCGAAACAATTTTTCCTATGCAACATGATTCAAAATCAACTGTTTTAACTCATCCAGAGCACTCTAGATTGAAAATTGAAAAATGAATAAATGTCAAAAAGTGGCAAATGGAAATAAGTAAAAATATACCGGGTATCCCATTTAAAATAAGATGATATGGGTCATTTCCGGTCGAACCGGAAGTTACCGAAAACAATTGAATACTTCAAATAATACATATTTTTAAATAAACTCATTCACCGAATTTCATTCGTTTATCTGTATAAACTAAAAAGTTATAGGGATGTGCCACTTTTGAGAAACACCCGGCATAACAATCATCACTGAAACACAGTCGTTCTAAGTCTCTCCTCCGCCAACTTGGTAATGTTCTCTATGAGCTCCGGAAACGGTCTCAGCACATCCAAAAAGTCCGACCTGTTCAGCACAAACAACTCGCAAGGTGTGACCGCAACCACTGTGGCTACCCTAGGTTCGTTAAAGATCAGCGCTATCTCCCCGAAGTGAGCACCATCTTCCAAGTGGCAAATCTCTCTACCAGAGGGAGTGTAGATCGTCACCGTCCCAAAGTAGATGAAGAACATGCAGGTACCTGTCACGCCAGCATTGATGATAACGTCATTAGTCAGGTAGATCTCCGACTTGAGCCTCGAGACTATCCTACTAAGCACCACGTCGGGCAAGTTCTGGAAGAACTCCACTCGCTGCACGTGGTTCTTGGTCACGTGCACCATGATCTCCCGCCGCAATATAGTCGAGATCATCCTGTTGATGTGAGCCTCGTTGTAGAACTGGTTCTCGAACTTGAAGTGGTAGAAGGAGAAGAACTTCTTGCGCAGGCTCATCGGCAGCCTCTTGTAGTTGAGGTACTCGGTGAACTGCTGGTAGAGGTTCTCGTTCTTTATCTTGGCGTTGGAGTACCTGATCCACACTTGCAACACCAGCGTGTAGAGGAAGATCTGCAAGCAGTACCCCACTGCCATGACGACCAGCGAGAATATGATCTTGACAGGGTTGTTCAAGTTCCTATCACCGAAGCTGGCATGTAGCAACATCAGAGTTGTGGAGTAGATGACCTTAGGCACTGTATCTCCAATATCTCTTTCTTCTTCTGGAATGAAATGGGTCCCGATGAATATGCCAATCTGGAATATCATGCCGAACAACCACAGTAGGAGGATTACGAAGGTCAAGATGTTTCTGAAAGCTCGGTTAAGGGCGCTGGACAAGTTGGCATACATTTCGAAAACTTGCAAGGTGTCGAGCCCTCTCCTTATCCGGATGATTCTCAAGGACGACAACGTTCTCAAAGCCACCGAGAGGATGAATGTTTTGTCGAGGAAGTTTGTATTCTTGGAAAACATCCTGAAATGTGAAATAATGATAAGTTGAGTGACTGAAGAATAAACCTTCACAAGGAGTCATGCAGAGTTCTCAGAAACACATGGATCACTAGCTTGTTGAATGTAGATTCTTTTTGATTTGACTTATCTCTGATGTTCATGAATGCGACGGTTGAATATTCTAATTGTTTGACCAACATATGGCTTTCTGAACAAGCCTTACTTCAGTTATTATACTTCTAATTCCACAAATTCAATCACTTATCAGTTGGTAAGGTGGTTAATTGTACCACTAGCCAGTCTGGAAAAGCAACATAGAAATCATATCGTTTGTGAAGCCTTTCCAGTCATCTACTATAACCTAACCTAACCTAACCTGCCCCAAGTAGCGTCTGTGAAGTATTCTTCCCATAAATAAATGGTGGGGGGAGTGCATCGTTACTAGTTATCGCTTCTTCGTTCGAATCCGATTACAGCGACTAAATTCTTTCTCCATTCTACCACAGTTACTACGACTTTTGGCGTAGTTGACTGTGCGTTTGAATCTCACGTCGGCGACCCGGGTTCAATGCCTGCGACGGTCGGCTTTTTTCAATTCTGTTTTCTCAAGTGATTTTCCAAAAAATATGATATGTAGAAATAAGGTTCATTGAGGCCGATTAAGGTTAGATGGTTTAAAATAAGTAGTATCCTTTGATGATATGTAGAAAGAAGGTTCATTGAGGCCGATTAAGGTTAGATGGTTTAAAATATGTAGTGTCCTTTCTCACGCAGAAGGGATATTTTCCTTCTTCCCTGAAAAAAGTACTGTGGAGGCATTTACTGTTGAAGAAAAGTTTTGACAAAATTATTTTCTAGAGAAAATGTTTTTTTTTGCCGAGTTAGATTGTCTTGTTTTGAAGAATAGTCTCTTTCTTCTAACCAACCTGAATGGTATCAGGTACGAGTGCAAGCAACACGCCAAATCCAGAAAGAAATAACTCCTAAGGTACTTCTTTGCGATCAACCTCGAATCCATGATGGTCTTGCTCTTCGCCGTATCATAATACCCAGTGAAGAACGTCTTGACGATATCGATGGTCATCACGTAGTCCATCGTCATCTTGACCACTACGATGGGCGTTGGCTGTCTGTTGTACACGTTGATGGTCGCCATAATGGACAGATTGATGAGCAGGATAGAGTACACGAGGAAGACGAAGAACTCCCAATACATGGCGAGGAGGCTATAGGGATGGATCAGCCATCGGTGAAATACCAGCTGTCTCACCTAATAATAAGAAAAAAGATGAGAATGAAAATATGAGCTCGTAGTGGGGAAAATATATTTCAGAAGGCATTTATCAATGGGTTGCGGGCAAGAACTGTCAGATGACCGCCCTGGAGATGAAACATTGAAACACAACCTAAAAATTGTTCTAAAATTGTTCTATCCGTCATTCAGTCCTCACTTTTCTTATTTGTTTACAAAGGATTGAAATAGTGTTTTGTTTGGTACTTTGTACCACTTTGTACATCACTGTAACATGGCAACTTGTTGTTGTGGGGAAACAGTTGGAATAATAAATAACTTGTTTCGCGAATTCATCATTCATCCGGAAACTGCTAAGAATTAAGAATCACCCAGTAGCCTTGTTACTGACATTAGTGACATTTGACATTTGTCGAAATGATCAACATAGAAAATAAATTCCTTGTGTTAGAAAACAGGGATTAAAATCGTGTCAGAAACTTGGAAAGGCGAACCTGTTAATGGAAAATCTTCGATGAAATCCATATTTTCGATTTAAATGCAGATTCCGTAAGTTATAGCATAAACAATGAATGCACGCGGTGTATGTTTGGTTGCCTATAAAACAATCATTAATTATAGACAAATCGTTCATTAATAGGGGTCATTAATGAACGATTTCATATACATTAAACTTAGTCGTTAATACGAGGTCGACGGAAATAGTTATTTAACCAACTAGTATATTAATGAGGGCGATTAATGATCGAGATATTTTAACGTGCGAGCGAAGCGAGTGCGTTAATGTTCGAGATCATTAATCGCCTTTTAATATACAAGTTGGTTACAAAATTTTTCCGTCGACTATATTTCTCATTTCTCCTGCAATGAAGAAAACTTGGTTCGCCAAATCATCATCCATCCGGAAACTGCTAAGAATCACCCAGTATAGCCCTGTTACTGACATTAGACATATTTGACATTTGTCGAAATGATCAACATAGGAAATAAATTTGTGTTAAAAAACAGGGATTAATATCATGTCAGAAACTTGGAAAGGCGAACCCGTTAACGGAAAATCGTCGATGAAATCCATATTTTCGATTTAAATGCAGATTCCGTAAGTTATAGCATAATATACAATGAATGCACACGGTGTATGTTTGGTTGCCTATAAAACAATCGTGTATTAATAGACAAATCGTTCATTAATAGGGGTCATTAATGAACGATTTCATATACATTAAACTTAGTCGTTAATACGAGGTCGACGGAAATTGATATTTAATTGAAATAGATACAGGGTGGTTGAAAATCTTAATTCTGAACCACCCTGAACCATTTCATTTATATATCAATTGATAGTACATGAAAAGTTAGGATAGGGACATGTAAACCGTTTTGACCAATTATTTATAGTTTCGAGACAAAAAATGCTGAAAATTGAAAAATCTCGATGTTTCACACCCGATATCTTTGTTATCATTCCCGATAGACCCCCAGTGTGATAGATCGATGGAATCAGCTTTTCAGGGGCAATCTGAAAATGGAATGATATACAGGGTGTCTCATTAAAATAATCAAAGTTGTTTCTACTTTTCAATAAAGGCGGCCACGTCGCAGCGCTGAGAATATTTGAGGTCGATAGAACACAACTAATCATCCGAGCATTGTCGTTGTAAATGACAACTAATTAGATAGTTAGTAGGCAAGAGCCATAGTAACTTCCTCGTGTACTAGGTCGCCTACTAGGTTTCCATTTAGATCGACAATGATCCGAGGAACCGAGTTTCCAAAATAATCCTACGTTGCGTTCTCCAGAAACGTGTAATATACCATTTACCGTTAATCAGCCTGTATAAGATAACTATGAGATATTGTCACGAGTAGAACATACAGTATGTTAGTAATTTGGAACCATGAGGGTTTTATGAACATAAAATTAATCAAATCATCCATTGACATTGAACTATGAAAACTGACCAAGGAACCCTCATGAGAAACGTGCAAATATAATAAAATGATGTATATAAATATTGGATGTGAGGGTTTCGAAGTTAGTCTGGTCTGGGGCTACTGTTGACTTGACAAGAGCTCGTCGTAATGGTCATTATAATGTAAGTTGTTATTCGGTCTTTATATTTATTGTTTTTATTCATATTTATCATCACTACCCATAATGTTTTATGCTGCAATAAATATTGTTATATTTTTGAATATATATGAATATATTTTCATACTTTCGGTTAAACTATTAGTGCCTATTTGAATATTACCTCTCGCAAACTATTTAGCCAAGCAAACCCCTTATAAATCGATATGGATGGACTAACCATCTATTATATCGTGACATGGTGGCAACCACTCATATATCGTGACAATATCACACAAAAGCATCGAAAACTGGACACACTGTACTCACCTCTTCCTCGAGCTTGGCCCTATGGGAGTTGTAGTAGACCGAAGTCATGGGATGGCTTGGACTGATTATGCGCAGTCGGCAAATGAAACGGCGCAGGTTGATGAACATGCCGGTATCGATGACTTCGTTGAGAATGCTCACTCTCGCTGGCTGCAAGAGCTTGCATTCGTGACGTTTCATCTTGCTGATGAGATTCAGTCGGAAATAATGACAGCCTAATGTTAACTTGGCAGATCAAGATGCATTTTGGAAGGCTGTCAAATGAAGCAGCATGTGACGATATTGTAGGCGCACAAGTACTCACAGTTCAAACTTGTGAACTCGACTTACTCCTCTGGACCCCCTGTAACAGTTTATATACTAAACTACTCAACACTAATTTCGTCGCACACCAAAATGTCGCCCCTGATATAATGTGAATAACTTTTTTCAGTTTAGAACAATTTGAATTTGGTTCACACTGTTCGATAGCCTTGTCCTTCAGCTATAATCTGGTACTTAATTGAAACATGCGGGTATTCACATAAAATCTCTACATGGTGTTTTCCGACACTGTGCAAAATTTCGGAATATTCAAAAATTTTTCTCAACTTCGACAACAGAGGCATGAAGATGATCTCATTACCTCGAGATATTTCGCGAATCAACTTCCTATCTCTATTATTTACAGAGTGATCTCAAAAAAGCAACTTTTTGGTTTTGCAGCCATAATTTTTTTCCACGTCAACCGATTTTGGAAATCTTAGGCTCATTTTGAAGATAAAACTTCAGATGAAGAGATCTGAATATCAGACCGAAATCTGGAACGCCCTCCGAATCTCGGTTGGGAGGAGAATTGAATGAAAATCAACTTGTTCTCGGAAAAACAATTCATTCTGGATGCGTCCATATTTTCCTCGCTCTCAGTACTCAAGAATGTGCGTGAGAAAACACAATTGAAACATGTTCTTGCAAAAACATCAGACCATTTCTCCTCTGTAATGCATGCCCCTTAACTAACGTTACAAGAATCACAGTAAGTGACTGACAAGTCAGGTTAGACGTCGTTTTCGAATCATAAACAGATTTTGATAGTTTCGATGCCGCATCTAACGACCGACCAGTTGGAACTGATTCCACAAATGAGGGAACAAGGGTTATCTTCCCTCCAAATCGCGGATCTGCTAAACACGACAGTCCGATCCATTCAAAGGGCTTATCTCCGACAAGAATTTTTTGTTTATTACTGTCGATTCGTTCGACATTTATGATGAGTCTCAGCTGGTCGGGTTTGACAGTCACTCATTGTGATTCTTGTAACGTTGGTTACGGCGGGCCATGCATTACAGAGTAGAAATGATCAAATGTTTTTGCAAGAACATGTTTCAATTGTGTTTTCTCACGCACAATTCTTGACTACTGAGAGCGGAGAAAATATGGACGCATCCAGAATGAATTGTTTTTCCGAGAACAAGTTGATTTTCATTCAATTCTCCTCCCAACCAAGATTCGAAGGGCGTTCCAGATTTGGGTCACTTTCAAGAAAACTCTAGATCTTTGATAGCCATCTTGAGTCAATTCTGATATTCAGATCTTTTCATCTGAAGTTTTATCTTCAAAATGAGAGAAGATTTCCAAAATCGGTTGACGTAAAAAAAAGTTATGGCTGCAAAACCAAAAAGTTGATTTTTTGAGATCACCCTGTAAATAAGAGATAGGAAGTTGATTCGCGAAATATCTCGAGGTAATGAGATCATCTTCATGCCTCTGTTGTCGAAGTTGAGAAAAACATTTTTTTCACCATTTGAGAGCCTTTTGAATATTCCAAAATTTCGCACAGTGTCGGAAAACACCATGTTGAGATTTTATGTGAATACCCTTATGTTTCAATGAAGTACGAGATTATAGCTGAAGGACTGGGCTATCGAACAGTGTGAACCAAATTCAAATTGTTCTAAACTAAAAAAAGTTATTCACATTATAACAGAAGCGACATTTTGGTGTGCGACGAAATTAGTGTTGAGTAGTTTATTAGCGATTTGCCGAGACCAGTGATGTGCAACATGTCGCTTTTTGCTGATGATACGGCAGTGCTTGCATATTCGACAAATTTCGAGCAAGCAGCTATGAACCTCCAAAGCGCCCTGAATTCTCTTCAGGAGTATTTCCTAAGATGGAAGATCAAATTGTGTCCTGCAAAAACACAATTGGTCGCACTCGGAAGGGAGCGGAGACCTCCCAGAACCAGAATAGTCCTGGATGGTCATGAGTTAGAGTGGTCTTCACAAGTTGAATACTTAGGTGTGTGAATTGACAAAAAGCTCGCCCCCAGCACATTGAACAGCAAGTTTCAAAAGCTAAACGAGCCATTGGAGCCCTGTATCCATTTCTAAATAGAGTAAATTGGGTTTGAGACAAAAATTGAATTTACATCTTGACTATCAGGCAAATTTTACTGTATGCCTCGGTAGTCTGGGGCCACATAGCAAAATCTCATATCACCAGATTACAAACATTACAAAACAAAATCGGGAGAATGGTGACAGGATCTCCTTGGTATGTTCGGAATAACCTGATCACCAGGGATCTGAAACTCCCTTCAATCGTGTCCGTCATTTGATAACGAAACATCAAGACTTTCGAAAAAGCTGAGGTTCATGAGAATCAGCTTCTTCGAGATGCAGTTGATTACGACCCAGGTGACCAATCAAAGTTCAGAAGACCGAGATTGTCCATAAACTCGAGAAAATATCACCATTATGACCAAATTTACTCTTCTCAAGTTTTTGATATTTATTTGTTTCGTTCGATCTTGTTCAGTTTTCAGAATGTACTTCTGAAACTTATTTAGGACAGAAGGGCTGTTCGCATCAAACTTCAATGCCGTTTTCATTTTGTTTTTTTTTTGTTCTCATGATATCAGGATGAGAAGGGCTCTTCCCTGGTCTGAATCAAATAAAAGGAAGATCCAATATACAGGATGTTTCAACTACGGTTCCTAACTGCAGGTGGTGATTCGTTAGGTCATTTCAGGAAGAAAAGTTCCTATTAACATATGTCCGGAGTTGCTTCGTTTCTGAGATACAGACACAGAAACAGCTGTGTCCGAACTCTTATCTACGAATATCTCTATCATCAGCGGTGATTAAGAGAGCTGACACCGTCCATGTGCGACATGTTCTCTGAAGACGAGTGTACATACTATAGTCCAATTTACGCCACATACCATACATACATTTTATATTGATCATGCCGAGTATAAATAGTATTTAATATAAGTATTAAAAAGAGAGGATTTCGGGATCCTAGTTCTAGTTGTGTAAAACTGGCTCAGCCAATGCTTTGTGTTTTCGAGAACCTATGACAACTTTACTGTCAACATTTGGTGAGCAATCATTCCCGATAGTCCGATTTATGCAGAATAGGATGACGTTAATTTCTTTGTAATATACTTGTACGCTTTTTTTTAATGCGACTGTACTTCGAAACAATGAAATAAAATGTTCAACTGAAACAGGCCCATTCTCAAGTTTTATTGTGTGAATAAAATGAATAGTGATTTAAAAAACTAAAGGAACACGCTTTTATAGACTGTCAACACAGAAGACTGAAAAGAAGTACAAAAGATAATAATAATTAAAGTGTGTAGATAAATACACAACATAGAAAATACTAGCACCTCCGTTAATCAGCAAATTCAATGTTGTGTATTCATGAATACACTTTCATCATTTTATTTTCATCTTCTTTTTAGTTTGGCTATCTATGAATGCGTTTTCTTCAAACTACTATTTATTTTCGATTTATCAGTTCGGCTAACTACCAATGAAGCGTGTTTTTTAGTTTTTTATATTTTTTTGTAGGTAGGTACAATTTTGACAAAAGAATCCCAATATCCGACCCCGAAAACTCTCAGATACCATATTTTATAGAATTGGATAATAATAATAATTACAAAACTCGTTCACCATTTTGGAGCTGCCATTATGTTCTTTTTGTCTAACAAAAATGCCAAATTTCAAATCAATCGGTCTGTTTAAAGTGGGTCAAACTCATTCATTCATACAGGTGAAGTTGATAAAAGCGTGTTAAAACATCGATTAACGTGAAGTATCAGATATACATAATATTGAAATATCAAAATACATGGTAACACCTAAACACAAAATAATTATTTCTGGAAAACGGTCGATCTGAGTCTCTCCTCCGCCAACTTAGTAATCTTCGCTTTCTGTTCGGGAAACGGTTCTAGAACCTGCAGAAAGTCGAACCTGTTCAGCACGAACAACTCACAGGGCGTCACTGCGACCACTGTGGCCACTCTAGGCTCGTTGAAGATCAGCGCTATCTCCCCGAAATGAGCGCCATCTTCCAAGTGGCAAATCTCCCTACCAGACGGCGTGTAAATCGCCACCGTGCCGAAGTAGATGAAGAACATGCACGTTCCCGCCAATCCAGCCTTGATGATGACGTCATTGGCGAGGTAGATCTCCGACTTGAGCCTCGACACGATCTTACTCAGCACCACATCGGGCAGGTTCTGGAAGAACTCCACCCGCTGCACGTGGTTCTTGGTCACGTAGACCAGGATCTCCTGCCGCAGTATGTTCGAGGTCATCTTGTTGATGTGCGCCTCGTTGTAGAACTGGTTCTGGAACTTGAACTGGTAAAAAGATGAGAATTTTCTGCGCAGGTTCATCGGCAGCTCCTTGTAGTTGAGGTACTCGGTGAACTGCTGGTAGAGGTTCTCGTTCTTGTTCTTTGCGTTGGAGAACTTTACCCACACCTGCATGACTTGCGTGTACATGGAGAGCTGCAAGCAGTAGCCGACCGCCATGAATAGCAGGGATACTATGGACTTGATGGGGTGGCTCAAGATCTTGTCTCCGTAGCTGACGTGCAGCAGCATCAAGGTGGCCGAGTAGAAGAGCTTGAAGGTAGGCGCGTTCCAGTCTCTGCTCTCCGGTGGTATGAAGTTGAACTCAACGAGCTTCTCTATCTGGAAGATCATGCTGTAGAGCCAAATGAGGAGGATGCTGAATATGAGAATGGCTCGGAACGCTCGGTTCAGAACGCTGGACAGGTTAACGTACATTCTGAAGAGTTCCAAAGCTTCCAGCCATCTTCTCATCCGTAGGATTCTGAAGGAGGCGATTACCTTCAGGGTTATCGCTAATATCCAGGTCTTTTCGATGAAATCCTCGTAGTTGGTGAAGATTATTCTGAAACGGAATATTGAATATCAAAATACGCACTATCCTTGCGAAAAATCCAGTGGTTGGTTTTGTCATCGTTCCATATGTTTTTCGGGTTGCTGATAATGAATCTGGAATTATCCAACAAATGTTCTTAGTGCGTTTTGTTAGATAATTCCAAATTCCGATTCAGCTACCCAAAACTTAGGAAACGATGATGATTTTTTGCAACGTAAAACTACCATTTGACTGATTGATTGATTATCTTCATTATTATCTCAAGAAACATATCTCTTTATAATAGGGATACATGAACACAAAAAAATATTATTAATAATAAAAAGTTAACTAACTAATTCCACTCAGTGGAAACAAATTCATACTCTTCCTCAAGATGGAATTTATCATCATGCCATATATTTTTCAATCAAATTGTCCTTACCAGGTTTTGTTTATGATTGACTTCAAATCTTCTTACATCATGTATATTTTTCTCAATATTTTTCAATTCATTCGGTAATGAATCGTATAAAATTTTTACATCATGATTCCATGTACTGATTGTTTGCCAATGCTCTACTTTATGTATTCGCTATCAAGTAATTTAATTGTCTAGTCCCATAACTATGGACTGTAAGTTTGAAATTTTATTCCTGACAAAATGAATAAAACAACATATTGAGTTTATATAACGAAATCAGATTTAGAAATTTTCTAGGTTTGTATAAATTTACTGGGTTTTAATCACTGCTTTCAGGCTTGAAATATTTGTGCTTCCCCAAATAGAAGTTGAATATTGTAAATTTGAATATATTAGGCAAAAGTAAATACACTTCAGGTATTTTATAGGAATGATATTTCGGATTTAGAATAAAATGCCGATGATTGGATATATTTTATTTCTCAAATGGTCTGTGTTCAGTCCCCAATAATTTTTCATCAATATAGAGACCTAAAATAGTTATTTATGTACCAAGGACGAAAAACTATCTATTGTAGTCGATTCTGCAAATTGATAGCCGAGGCCAGCAATCAGGCGAGACAATAGACAGTTTTTCGCCAAGGTGCATATTAAATTTTTTCTTCGGCCTCAAACACTTAAATCCACATCACTGTTCTATTCACACGTGAAATCTATCGGATTTCGTGAATAATTAATTTAACAACAGCAAATGACAGTTCGATTTTTATTTCATCAGTAAATACCTTGTAAAAAAATCAGATCTACAGTGTGACCCACTTAAGACCGGAGCACCCTCATAAAATCTTTAGTTTTTGACCGATTTCTTTTTTTTTTTTTCATTTCAGCAGAAGGACTATTCGGAGATCTACGTTTACACAAATTTGCAAAATAAAATTTCAATCTACAGGGCATACTATATTATTTTTAAAAAAAAAAATCGACCCCACTAATGAATTCAGCATCCTTCAATTAGGTTGAGCGCAAAATTTCATTGCAAAATTTCAATTGGCAACAAAGTTATAACAACATTAATTTTGATTGCTCACCATTTTTTATGAATATTTCAGACAAATTCTGAGAAGCGGCAACATTGTCAACACAATAAATGTTGGAAATCATTGAGGTTCCTGGTATACATTTGAATTGATAACACAAATTATTATCGAGTTATAATCTCTAGAATGGTACCCTTTTGGAATGAAGTAATGAAGTCGGAAAAACAGCGTTTCATAATAAGTTAATTATCAATGTAAACCAACAATTTCTGAAAGCTCTTGATGTTTTTGGCTTCTGATATTATCTTACTATACAAACTATCCGATTTTCTAACTTCAATTACTACTTGGATGAACAATAAGGCCGATTTTCCGATATTATAGATTTTTCATTTTATGAATCTTTCCATGAATACCAAGATAAATTCCATTTCAGATGTTATAACTCTATAATAATTTGTGTTATCAATTCAAATGTATACTAGAAACCTTGATGATTTCCAACATTTGTGTTGACAATGTTGCCGCTTCTCAGAATTTGTCTGAAATATTCATAAAAAATGGTGAGCAATCAAAAATAATGTTGTTATAAGTTATAACTTTGTTGCCAATTGATATTTTTCAATGAAATTTTGCGTTTTACCTAACTGAAGGATGCTGAATTCAGTGGTTGGGTCGATTTTTTTTTTAAATCGCTAATGATATTTCGCAATTTTTAACATGAAAAAAATAACATAGTATGCCCTGTAGATTGAAATTTTATTTTGCAAATTTGTGTAAATGTAGATCTCAGGATAGTCCTTCTGCTGAAACAAAAAAAAAAGAAATTGGTCAAACACTATAGATTTTATAAGGGTGCTCTGGTCTTAAGTGGGTCACACTGTATATTATACTACTTATACGAATTCCAAGAAAGGATAATGAAATAAAACCTATGACGTCAAAACATTATGTACTTTTAGTAAACAGAAAAGTAACCTGTTTTCAGCAAATTAGAAACAAACAAATCAAACTTTCTCATAAAAAAAACATATTCCCAATTCTCAATTCAAAAATAGTCACATATATCACAAAATACAGTTACATAGGTACTTATAAGATTTGAGTGTATAAAAGCACGAACCAATAGTAAAAATGAACAAAACAAATACAAAACAAATTACAAAATCTAACTCTTCAGTTGAAGTATTGTTCTCTGTACCTATATGTAAATTTATCACTTATTTTGTGAAATTAATTTAAACAGAGCGTGCCGAAATATCAATATGTGATTGTGAATGCGATTTTTTGTAGAGATCGACGAACATTTTTGGTACAGGCGGTAAGTCAAGCAACTTACCTAAAAGGTACTAAGTAAGAGTGCGTGCAGCAAATCAGGTCAAGCAAAAAGTATGTACTCAAGTATCTCTTAGCGATCTGGGTGAAATTCATCACCGTCTTGCCGTCACGTGTTTCATAATACCCAGTGAAGAATTGCTTGACGATATCGAGGGTCAGGATATAGTCCAAGGTCAGCTTTTGAATCACAATGTAACTGGGTTTCCTGAAGTAAACGTTCGCTGACGCTGCAATGGCCAGAGTGAAGAACTGTGCACTGTAGACGATGAAAATGAACATCTCCCAGTACAGGGTGAGCATGCTGTAGGGATGGATCATCCAGCGATAGTTGGTGATGTGTCTGATGTCTTCGGTTATTCTGGCTGTGAGGGATTTGTAGTAGACCGACGCCATGGGATGATTGGCGCTGACCATGCATAATCTCTGGAGCTTTTTGCGCTGGTTGATGAAAATGCCGTCTTCTATCACTTGGTCGAGGATATCGACATCGGTGTTGTAGTGAAGGTTGCAATTGTGTTTTCTCATGCTTTTATTGCGGGTTGAAAAAGAAGTGACAGATACGAATTGATATTGTGTCAACTTGCGGTTGTTCTTACAAGAGTATCGGTTTGTGTTGTTCACGAAATTGTGTTGCTGAGCAACACCATTAGTCCACCAGATATTGGATCTTTCTTTTATTTGATTCAGACCAGGGAAGAGTCCCTCTTATCCATATACTCTTATCCTGATATCAGTGATATCTATTATGAAACAAAATAAAAACGATATTGAAGTTTGATGCGAACAGCCCTTCTGTCCCAAATAAGTTTCAGAAATACTTTCTGAGAATTGAAAGAGATCGAACGAAATAAATAAATATCAAAAACTTGAGAATAGTAAATTTGGTCATAATGTCGATATTTTTTCTAGTTCATGGACAATCTCGGTCTTTTGAACTTCGATTGATCACCTGGGTCATAATCAACTGCATTTCGAAGAAGCTGATTCTCATGAACCCCAGCTTCTTCGAAAGTCTTGATGTTTCGTTCTCTAATGACTGACACGATTGAAGGGAGTTTCAGATCCCTGGCGATCTGGTTATTCCACCAGATATTATTTTATCGAAATATCAATTGATCGAGTTATTATTCCAGATTTTTTTTTATTTTCTCGTCTCTATAGAATGAAAATATGAATAACTATTTCAATATACGTGTAGTTAGGACAAATCAGATGATGTACCCCAAAATATCACTGTGTTTAAAGAATTTTCCTATCAGAGAGTCTAAAAGAAGAATTCACTAGCTTTCAGTGACAATTTGTATTGGAAAAGGTTTGGAGAAGAGAAATAAAGGTATAAAAAAAAAATATAAAATTTTTACTTATCTTTGGACGTTTCGGGAACGAATCTGCTCCCGTTCTCAACATAAAAAATGGATATTCTGTATTGCAAATTCGTATTTGTCCTGACACTTTTCAGTTCTCAGTGACAATTGGTGACGTTGGCAATCAAATGAGTTACAGGATGTTCTCATTAATTACTATTTTATTTTCAGATTTCAGTAGTGAACACATTGTTCTATCTTATATCAACTGAACAGAAAGCAATGCTATTGTCTCCGTTCAGAAGAAGCAGATTCCTTTATGCTTTTCTTCTTGTTGTTATTTTCTTTTCCAATGATATTAATATTATTCCACTCTGCCATATGTTGTCCATCTTCAGTAAGGATATGTTCAGCTAGCTTCGATTTGTCGATGTGTCTTTTCTGAAAGAGGTCTCTTGGTTTCACCTGTATAAAACTTCCCACAAACACAAGGTATACTGTAAATACAATTCCCAGCGAGCACAAAAACATCTCAGAGATGTTGAAAGTACGAGATTTCGAGACATTGAACCTCCACTGCGATGTTCTGTTCACACATGAATAGAACTATCATTGAATAGATATGTCACAAAACTACCTTCTCCCTAGTTCTTTTTAAAGCCTTTTCATGGACACAACAAAACATTTTCAACGCGTCTTGCGCACATTAAATCCCTGTAAAAAAAACCATTTTCGAGGTACTTTTCTGAAGCCTTTTGTCAAAAAAAACATTTGCATTAGGATTCCATTTCCCTTGAATGAAAAAATGCATTGAAAATAGATTGAACATGAAAATATTTTCTTGATATGAAATTAACTTCTTAATCGGTTTCTGAGTAGTGCTTACTACACACAGACAAATAATTGGAAATAGGTTTCCCAATTTTTGAAATGTTCTCCACAATTCATAATTTTGCAACTGCGGAGAAGCTGTGTATTGATGAATTTGTACTTTTATATATTGATTACACTGAGGCACCGAACAACACATCTTGCATCTGATGGTCATTATTACAAACTAAATAGGTCTTCTAACACAATAAACTTCACCAAATTTCTTTCCGTTCGTTAGCAGCGTGATGTAAGCGTGACACGCTGCAAACGCGAATGCCAATTGTGAACAATAAAAAGAACAAAATCGAAAACAAATCAGAATTCATCGTATTGTGACGTAAGCATGAGACGTTGTGGTGGGGCAAACAAAGAAAGGGCACAAAAGAACAAAAACAATACTTTCAATATCCTTCTAAGACCTCTTTGGGAAGTGCATATTACGCCTCAAAAAAACATCCTCATACCTACATTTCTAAAACATCCCAAAACATCCCAGGGATACCTCTCACATGAAAACAAAGAAATGCCACAGAAGAACCAAAACAATACTTCAATATCCTTCAAAGACCTCTTTGGTCAGTGCATATTACGTCTCAAAATAACATCTTCATGCCAACATTTTCAAAACATCCCAAAACATCCCAGGGATGTTTGTGCTCGCTGGGTTTCTTGACCTACAGACAGTATTTGATCGAGTTATATTTAGATCGGACTTATAACATAGAAGAAACATATTTGATGAAATCTGTCATTTCCTGAAATGCTTAGCCATTTCACGTATTGCAGGCAAACAGAGTGTAAACTTCGTTTTCTGCATAAGCATAAAAAAAGGAGACTACTTTTCTTTAACAAATCTGATATCGCGCAGCCCTAATCGAGAGAACGCTGTGATATCATATAATAATGAACCATCACAACTGAAACATAAATGTTCTGAATTGACTATTATGAGTTACCTATACGCCGGGTGGTAAAGTGATACTTCACGCCCGGTTGCGCATCAAATTTGATATAATATGCTAATTGCGTTAAAACATACTTATGACAAACTGAAGGAATTATCGGAAGTTGGATCAAGGAACATCTAACACATTTGGAATACCTTTGTAGATTAACTCGGTTCACAATTTGAAATGATTTTTTTTTTCTTTTTCAGATGCACTGCAGGAAGTGCGGGGATATCTTCTGTCAGCGTTGCATTTCGAAGAATATCGCTTTGCCAGGACACTTTTCCCAGATCCCAGTACCTGTTTGTAAGACTTGTTTTGATACCGTGGCTAATTCTGCCGAAACTTAACGGAAACCGTAATATTTACAGAAAAATTGTAATTCTTGTGATTCACCTTATAATTTTATCAATATCTAGAGCGTTCTTTTTGCTCTCATTTTCAATCAGCAACGTAGGCACATTCAATGATAATAATTGAATAATCCTATCTCGTAGTAATTGATTGTTTGAGACAACTTTTTGGATAAGGAAAGGAACACCTTGCGTGAATAATATTTATCAAAATGGATTAAATATTTGTAGTACTCATGTGTAAAATCCAAAAAAGTGAGTAAGTACCTGTGGTGTATAAAGTTGTATCTTATACTCTTTGCTTATTATAGGAAGAAATTCAAAGAATTTTATGAGAATGGAAGAAATTTGCTTATAGGTAATTTGATTTCCTAATATATTTTATGATACATGTATGTATATTTTGTTACTATTGTTCCTCATTATCTATTATAGGTAGGTACCAACTTTGAAATATTGGATACCTACATTATTACAGCATCCATTGTTATCTGTTACTGAGGACAGAAAAATATTTGACTCCTGTTTGATAATGATATTGGTTGTGAAAAAATGACAACTATCCTCTGCATTATGATAATCATTATTCTCAATGCAAAATATACTTGAAAAAACCATCTGACAGAAATATCAACTATTTCAGAGCTAAGTTAGAGTTTATTCTAGTTTGAATGAAAGCAAAATACTGGATCAATTATTTTTCCAGCAGTGTCATCTCATTTTATTTCATATAATCACAAATTCTTTCCAATGGAGATTCAGAGATGTAATGTAAAGTTGACCATTTCAACCCATTCAAAATTCTATTCATTTTTATGTTCTAAGTGTCTAGTCATGATTCAAGAAATTAAAACTAAAGACTTATGATGTTTTAGGGGTAGAAGAGAGTGATTATGGCATATTATTTCCTAAGGTAGATCTTTTTTTAACAGCACACAATGGAGAATAAAACCAATTTCTTTTGAATGAGATGTTTTATTATTCCCTAGTATTAACATTTAAAGCTACTACAGATACATAATTGTATTTCTGTTTTGTGGCCAATGTACTGTATAAAATATTTACAATGAACATCAGAGAGTTTATATCATCAACTTTTGTACTCATTTCTTAGTCTTTGATGGCCCACCCAATTCTTCCAATTCCTGTTTGAGGGTATCCAATTCTTTATCAGGAATATACCTAACCTCTTCATCATATTCTTCATGTGGTTTCACCTGGACTGTGACACCAGCTGGTAAACTGGTTTCTATTGTTCTAATTATAAGGGGCAACTGAAAAAATTTTGAAAATTAGGTCCAGGAATTCAGTATATAAGACAATCAATTTTCACCTGAAATGATGAGATGTCAGTGATCTGGAGGGTCCTTTCATAAATCATCAAGTTGTATTGGGCATTCACTATTTCACTTTTTGGTTTGTAGGCTGAAATCTGCATGTGTTGGGCTGGTGCAGCCCAACATTCTTCTACATTGACTTCCATGTTTTTCAGAAGGTGGTGAAGGAATTTTTGATAGTTTTCCAGAACAGGATAGTCGTAGCCTTTCAATTGTATGTTGATCAAGTCATGCAGAGGTATTTTGGATTTCATTGCCTAAAATCTCATTAAAAAATTAACTGGACAAGAAAATGTTGGAAACTTACTTCCAGATAACTAGGTTCATACAGCCCTCCACTAACATAATTGATAAATCTTCTTGAACTTAAATTAAGAACTGTAGTTTTCACATTGAATTTTCGAAAAATTTTATTCATTTTGACGTTTACCTTTCTGGTTACAAAATTCTCCTTCTTTTTTTGTGCAAATCGTTTGACAGGTGACATTTTCATAATGAAACTTGTCAATAGTGTCAAAGTCAAATATGTAAACAAAACAAGCTGAAAACAAGCAAATAAAAAGAAAATACGTGTAATGAAAAATAGGAGCAAAAATTAATGATGAAAAATTTTCAAAGTTGTATACCATACTCAATCTATTTTTGATTTTTATCACTGTCCTGTTGTTCGTTGTATCATGTGAAGTTCATATCAGTTCAGTAGGGTACAAGAGTGTTATTGACAACAATAACATCATTTTGTTTGATAAATGTTTTATATTGTAGGAAGAAACCATAGCTATGATGAAGGATGAAAAACACATTCCCACCGTGTACTACGGAGTTTATACTCCAAACGAGAAAGGGCGAGTGTTTGAAGATAAGTTGGAAGCTTTGAAAGCAGTGAAAAAGAACAAGAAATCCAGGTTCAAAGCCTTCAGCTTCTATCATGATGCGGCAACTTTCTGTCTCAATGGTTCAGAATGCCCAAATAACAACACAGTAAATGGATCCCTGTTGAATAAAGCTTCCACAGAATCTTCACAGGCTGTAGGTGAGAAGGCTAGTCCATTCAAGGGCCCCAGACCTCAAGAACTGGTGGAACTACGAAAAGCAATTGAGACTGGGAATATTCAGTTTGTGAAGGACACTATTTGGCAAAATCCTAGATATTTGGTAAGCAGTGGTGATACCCCTTCTATTCTGCAAGAAGGTTCACGTTATAATGCTCTACATGTGGCTGCCAAGTCTAGGAATGCAGAGATTACAGAACTGATTTTGAACACAATTTGTGATACTGAGTTTGTTAAACTTCTCTATGGAGATGATAACCAGGAAAATGCTGAAGATAGGACTGCAGTGTTGCTGGATTTGTATTTGAATATGCCAAACAAGGGGCTCAATGAGACCCCACTACATTTTGCATCAAAACATGGTGCTGCAGATGTTGTAGAGATTTTAGTTTCATACCCACAATGTGATAAGACTCTGAAGAACAAATTTTATAAAACAGCTGACCAGGTGTGTATGGTTTTCAAACACTATTCAATCCCTATGACAACATAAATATATTCTCCAGATAATTCTTGTTTGGAATTTTGTACTCATCAGAAAATAACATGAATTTCTGAACAAGTTCTTTGGATATATAGGTTTTCTCTATTCATGACATTGTATTAAATAAATTGTCTTGAATTCAAAGTGGATTTTTTCAGGTTTTTTAAAGAAATAAGAATATTAGTGCTTGTTTTAGATTATTTGTGAACGTGCTGATTGTGAAAATATCCCAGCAATTAGAAGAAAAATTGATTTGTTGCTGAAAGATAGTTATTATGTCCCAGTTTTGAGGGCTGAAGACAACAGCATGCCTCCCATCATAGGGGAACCTTTTTCACCTTCTAGTCCACCTGTAAGTATTTCATTTCAATTTGATGAAATTCAATAAGAAAAACTGCTTCCTATATTTATATATTCACACCAAATATATTTTTCAACTTTTTGAAATTGATTATTGACCAATGTTTGAGAAAAGCATATTTTTTAATCTTTTTAAAATCTATTTTACACTGTCTTGGAAATTTTGTCAACATCAGGTACATATTGACATTTTATAACCTTCCAAACTTTTTCAAATCTTGATTAATGATGAAAAAGTACACAATTATTTCCAAGTTACTCACTTTCATAAGTAAATACACTCAATAGCAACAAACAAGTTTTTCTCCATTTTTCTTCACCATTTCTAGGGGTTGGGAGAAGTTAAGAATACACTTTTTATGACCCTTTTTTATAGATTGTGTCACTTTCATATCTTCAATAAATGTTGAGGAAAATAATTTTTCATTCACTTACTTTTCATTGTCCTTGTTTTTTATTATCAATTTTATTGATTTTCTCAAAAATTTGTCAGTAACTCAAATTTTTACTTGAAATTAATTATCAGTAGTAATATCCCTAGGTCATTTATAATAGACAAGATAATTTTATAACAATTGCAAGCAAGCAAGGAGCTGAAAAATTTGTCATAAAATTATGAGGCATTTGACAATGAGTTACATATAACCCCTGCCAAATCATATCCAGACGCCGCCACTGGAGTCCATGCGTCGGATCACCTTCAATGATAAGCACCTTAGAAGCTGACTAAGGAGTCTCCTTGTTATTTATCTTATATTTATTACTTTGCATTCTGTTCACCTTTTATCTTTCATACCAGAAATTATCTTTGCAACTCTGAATTATTTTCATGAAATATCAATTTATTAGATTTCATTGTTTTTACTGAAGTTATAAAAGGAATGATTTTCATTCTAGACCTAAGTCTTTTACTGTAATACTTACCAGCTTATGCTGAATGAAACCATGATCAGAAATTGCTCTTTATTCAGCATTAGAGTAACCCTTTTACTCAAAAAGTCTCAAACCAAACTAATGTCCGATGGATATTCGGCGGAAAATAATTGGAATTTTTTGGCAATTTGAATGAGAATGCAGATGATCGTCTGCTAGCTTCATCTCCAATGGTCATATGTTAACGAGAAATTTGTTATGCTTGATCTAAAAAGCTTGCAGATATCCATTTTCATGCGAAACAGACCAGAAATGGCAAATTCGGCTGCCATTTTGGATTTTCAATCTTTCACTAGAAATTCGTATTCTGTGACCTCAAATACCACCAGAAATACATTTACAGGGGCGAGAAATTATATACATATCCGCCATACTGGAGGCGCCATCTTGAATTTTGTTCACAACAAAAGTTCAAATATTGCATTTTCAGTAGAAGTAACCCTACCCAACATGTCGAATTTCGGGAAGCGGATAAAAGAGATCTAATACTTGTGCTTTTCAAGCAGATAATCAATGGAACCTTCTTTGCTGTTATCTAGAACGACAATGGACAAGTGTGATTTGAATGTTGTTTTGAGAGGCTTTTTTTATCATACTTCTTGTGATAATCATGGAGTTGTCAGAGTCAGAATTACCTGAATAATCAATGGAAAAGCTACATAACCTAAATGACACTCTCTGAGTAATTTGTTAGGTTCTCAATGGCAACCCTCTGTCCCCAAGACTGGAAATTCATGCGTATGCGGGTCCGATGGAGAAGAAAAACGCCCACGTTTTCCGAAGGAAATGGAAAACCCCTCCGCGCTCTCTGACCTTCGCTTCTCCCACCAAGAACAGCCCCAAACGTGATGTCATCAGCGTGTCCGCTCTGCGGTTCAAAGACCCCCAGAAAGGACTGGAGCGTATTGGAAACAAGTTGGCGAACGAGGTAAATATCTGAAACAGTGAATCATTAAAATGTATCTTATCTGTGCAAAATGAGCACAAATGCGTTAATTCATTGTATACATATATATAGATATATTTTCCTACAACTGTAAAAAACTGCACTTTTTTAATATATTTTGTGTGCCTAAAGTGTACAATTTTTCAATATCAAAATACTGTTTTATTATTTTACGAAAAAGTGTGAAAAAAAGTACACTTTTTTCACGGTTGTTGCTAGGCGATGGAATGAATGCTTGCAACTGCATTGTTGGTAGGCTGTTTTGTGGGAAGACCAAGTCTGTTGGAACAAAAATGGCGTAAAACCGAAGTGTGTGGCTGCACAATGGTCGTTTTTACTAGCCACACACCACACACTTCGGTTTTGCGTAACTTTTGTTCGAACATACTTGTTTGACGAACAAAACAGCTCACCAACAACGCAGGCTATGGGCTCCTTTACGGGATTCAGCAAGGCAGCAAGCGAACAAAGCAAGGCGGCTGACTTCGTATTTTGTGTGCCAGTGGAATAGAGATGGAAGCGGGAAGAAGGCGCCACGATATCCTAGCGTATTATCCATGACATTGTTGAAATCACTTGAATTTTGAGAGCAATGAATTTCAAAATATCCAAACAAGCTGAAGAATTGGTTGAGACGGCAACGCTGTTTATTTCGCTGAATCATCAAGAATTATCGATTTTTCTCGACTACCAATAGATGGTCGGCGCGTTATAGAACTTGTGATGTCAGCGAACGGGAGTATTTATTTGGAAATTTACTTTGAAAATTTAGAAGGAATAAAAAATCCGAAAAAATATTCAATGCTATTTCTTATCGTGATGAAAGTTATAGTATTTTCTTAGACATGTGTTCTTGCCCATCAGAGGTAGTTCAATTCTTCAAATGGAGTCGTGGGTCTTTTGAGAAAATGCGATTTTTTTTTAGAGCAGAACTTTTTCCACGCCCTGTATGATCATTTTATCGTACAACTGACAGAAATAGCTCAATTCTGATTTGGCCAGTGGCTTTTATGGGTCGAAAAACGGCTTGCTAGATCTCAGAATTGAAATGTAAACGTTATTTCAATAGGCTTTGGAGATATTTTGTATTATTGGGACATTTAAGCAAAAAATCGTATTTTTTTTTACCAAAGATACCTGAATAATGATTGCGCCAATAGCTTTTCTGATTCAAAACATCGCTCAATTAAATTGCAAAATTGTGGAGGTATCCTGAAAATTAATTTTACAAACGGTGCAGTATTGGTTCACATTCAATCAGGCACCCCACTCAGTGTTCACGTTTCTAACGTTTTGCCATTCTGTTAGAGTACGACTGAAAACCCCACTCAGTGTTCACGTTTCTAACGTTTTGCCATTCTGTTAGAGTACGTTTCTAATGTTTTACGATTTTGTCAAAATTTACAATTCTGACAATAATGGACCTTCTGCTGTCTGGATATCTGATTAATATAAACCTCAATGATTAATGAATATTGTTATCCATGTCGGTTCCAGTTTGGTGTGAATTGGAAGGAATACTGGCCCTTCCTGGGTAGCTTCCTCGGCATAGGTTCGGAAGAGGGTTTAGACTCGTTGGAATCGTACTTGGCTTCGCGATACGCCACCCCAGATACTTCGAAAACCACCCCAACCCCCCATAGACAAAATTCGACAAGTCTTTGACTATCAGCCCCGTCGCGAATCTGTGCGCCGCCTTTTCAATCATTTTATGATTCTGTCAGTTTACGGTTTCAACTTTTTGCGATTCTGTCGAAATGCGTTCCTAACTTTTTACGGTTTTCTGAAATATGGCAATTCTGACACTGGGGAAGTTTCTATCAGATGAGTTATCATAAAATGAGCTCGGAACTCTTTAGTTTTATCTCCACGCTGTACAGAATGGCGACCGATAAAGTCCGAGTCATTTTCAAATTAAAGCAATTTCTAATTTTCGAGTCGGCAAACTGTGACGTACATTCTGAATCTAGTCTGAAAATAGCTTATGGTGAAGAATATAGCTAGCGATTAGCTAACGAATAGCTAACGAATAGCTAACGAATAGCTAACGAATGAGAAAAATAGATGAAGTAAAACTGGTAAACAAAAACATACATAACCACAAATGCACTCGCAGCAGGAAATTCCAGGAATGCAGAGGGTATTTGACTTCATTCTGACAGGTTATGGTGTTGTTATTCATGCATTCAAATATCTCTAATAGAGCTCGATCCTAAAAAAAAATATCATTGAATCAATGAATCACTATCGGCTACATTCAATGATACTATGCTTCCTAATTCACTGCCATCGGTCAGAAGAAAATGAAGCCGACACCCATAGCTCCTTCCTCTGGTTGTGCTTGTCAGTATTTTGAGTGGTGTGGGCAGACTCGAAGTATTAGGCGCTGTTGCAAGATATAATCTTCAACTTTCCTAGAAAATAGATCGGTTTTATTAAGGAACGAATTCATTAGTAAAAAAATGTCTGACAAATTATGAATAACATATTGTAATATAGCGATAGTGAAAAATTATGGGTACTACCGCAAAATTTCATAATTTATCGTTATGAGTAATCAACTTCATTCAGCCAATGAGAGATTTATGGGAATTATTCATAATACTTGACAACGTAGGATTGAAGAACCTATTATATCCCATTGCTGTTATGATTATAGTTATTATGCATTCAAAGAACAATTTCCGGAAATCTAGACATATTGATGGTGTAGGCAACGTCATACTGGCACAGAGAATCGTATTTAGAGTGAATGTGGATTTTCAGAAAGTAAGTCATAGGAATGGTGGTGGAGCCAAGTTTCTTTTTTATTAACTTTTTTCTGAAGTGCAATTTGATGTTACGAAAAAATACGTTTCAATTGAACTTCAATTTTATTCTTATTTATTCTGGTTCCAGTTTGACGTGAATTGGAAGGAATACTGGCCCTTTCTGGGTAGCTTCCTCGACATAGCTTCGGAAGAGGGTTTAGACTCGCTGGAATCGTACTTGGCATCGCGATGTGCCACCCCAGATACCTCGAAAACCACCCCCAACCCTCCACAGACAAAATTCGACGAATCTTTGACTTTGAGCCCCGTCGCGAATTTGTGCGCCGCCTTCTCGGCGTGCCGATTGAGCGATAGATCGAGCGACAGATCTAGCGACAGATTGAGCGACGACAGGAAGAATGAGGTCGATTCGATTAATTACATCGATAAGGCGTGCCAGGTATTTGCCAATAGGATTTCCAATGATGTGCAGCTGTATTCTGGGGAGGATGTTGTGCAGGTGAAGTAAATTCAGTTTAGTTTGTTTCAGGATTCTATAGTGTCTAGTGTATAAGTTCAAATCCTTTCCTTCCTATCTTCCTTCCTTTTTTGAATTTCTATAAAAAAAAATCAACGGTCAGTGTATTGTGTAAGAAAATATTTTCGTTTTTTGAATGTTGCTATTTCAGCTTCGAAAATTGCATCTGACCAAGAGCAAGAACATGGATGGGTTTATTGATTGATTGATTGATTGTCTTTATTACCCCAAGAAACATTTCTGTTTATGATAGGGATACATAAATACATTTAAAAAAAATAATGAATAAGATGAAGTAGTTTAACAAATTAGGAATAACAGTCATGGTTTATGAATAAAGCTCACCATAATAAAATAATGAATAACAATTATTCATCCAAATTAATTGTCACCAACAGAAGTTTCCCTTGAACGAATTATCATAGAATTACTATTCAACTACCTAGTATTAGGTGTCTGATGTCTAAAATGGCTTATCAAGTTATTTTAATTTTCACAATCTTGACTTATTTCCTTCACTCCTACGTAACCGAAAATAAGAATAAGAAGAAAGCTGCCAGTATAGTCCAACCTCAAACCTTCAACAAAAATGTTAACAAAATCCATCTCAGTATGGTATCAGGTTCACAACCACTGCTGCTAGAATTAAATTATCAATTTCTTAGTATATTCCTTATTGATCCGAAATTCTGACATAATTTGTAATATTTTAATATCATGAATTTTCATATTCCCCTTGTTGCTGACAGAGTGTTTCGTCACCACGCACTAGTTCAAACTTTACGAACATTCATTATTTGCCAATATTCAGTACTATTTATTGACTATAAAAACTGTGGACCCAATTAGTAGGTAGCTATGAAAAAAAAAGCGAGTGCAGAATGTTTTATAATTATTCTTGTCACCTGTTTACAATATCAAAACTATATGAAAATTCAGAAACCAACTTATATGCCAACCATAATATAAAATCTCTCGTAGTTTTGATATGAGAACATAATTACGATATTGTAAATTTTGAATGTATCTTTGAAACAAATGAGAAATTCGTCGAAACTATTTTTCCTAGGCAACGTGATTCAAAATCAACTGTTTTTACCCATTCATGGCACTCAAGATTGATAATTCAAAAATGAAATATTATCTATCGATATAAGCGAGAATATACCGGGTGTCCCATTCAATATGAGGAAACATGGGCCAGTTGCGGTCAAACCGGAGAACAATTGAATAATTCAAATGTGTGTTTATTTATGTACCATACTTACACACTGAATGTCATTTGTATATCTGTATAATCAAAAAGTTATAGGGGTAAGCCACTTTTGAGAAACACCTAGTATACTACTCATTTGAAGAAAACGTGGCAACGGCGTGATTGTGAATCTCACTCCCTTAGGTCCTGGAAACGGAAATCAAGCAACTGGAACTCCTCATGACCTCCTACATGGACGACCCAAGATTCCTCGACATCGACTTCCAGAAAATCCACTCGCGCCTGGCGCTCATGATCGCCCGCAAACTCCACCTCCAACCCTGCCTCCTCCCCGAACTCGACCGCACTCTCGACCTCCTCACCGCCAGCGTCGACTGTTTCTCCTCCGACGACGAAATGCGCGACCCGCGAAAACCCAACTTGAAACCGACCGTACGCCGCAAACAGCTGGTCTGCCTGTTGCGTTACCTCCTCAACGCGCTCACCCTGTACGGCGCAGGTCAGTGGGCGGGGCTTGTGGATTGGGCGGAGGCGGAGGCGTGCTCTTGCATGTTTCACGTGCGCAGAGCGAAGCGGAATAGTTTGTCGCGCAGCGGGAGTTTCAAGGGGGGGATGAAGGTTTCGGGGAAGATGGACGTGGAGGGAGGAGTGGGGAGGAGGCTGTGCTTCGATGACGACGTCGGCGATGGGGGTAGAGGTGAGTTGGTAGGATGGCATGACTTTTGTAGCGTACAGTGAAGTCTAATTCTGCTGGTGAAGGTTTTTTAGAAGCAGTTGTGATGCTGCATCTGATAGTTATTGATAACCTCGGAGGTAATTTGAATGCTAGATTTCAAATAGAGTGCTAGGAAATGAGAATTTTGGTGGTTTGGAGGGATCGCTGTGGCTATAGATCTACCGCTTTAGAAGTAGTTTCGATAATTGTACTCTATACCTCTTCAACTTCAATTTCGGAATCGGTGAGTTATATTTCGGAAAAAGTAATCTCGATTTCAGAATTGGTTAGTTCGATTTCAGAAATGATAAACTCAATTTCAGAATCGGTGAGATGAATTTCAGAAAAAGTCCATTCAATTTCAGAAATGGTAAGTTGTATTTCAGAATTATTATTGGTAGGTTCAATTTCAGAAGATGAAATCCTTTTATATGTTTGAAATGTTTTTAATTGCAAAAGAGAAGATTGTTTACAGTGGATGGAACGGTGTTTGAGAGCCCTATGTTGAATCAGATTGAACATATATGGGGTGCCTTCAAGTCAGGAGTGAAGAGCTTCTTGCAAGAGCATCGCCAAAGGGTCATAGCTGGAGATCCGAACAGATTGCTCAACCAGATAGAATTCAGACTGCGATGTCTTGATGAATGTGCAGATCATTCAATGAAAATGATAACACCTCAAATGTGTTTGCATTCTTATAATCATGTGCAACGCCACTATCTTCCAGCGATTCAGATGGAAGGCATCTGTGGATTAAATTGTTTTTGAAAAGTTGAATATTTCTATATGGTTTGTTAATCTCACATGCAATTGGAAACATTTCGAACAAATATAAGGATTTTTTTCATGATATTGAACCTACCAATTCTGAAATACAACTTACCATTTCTGAAATTGAATGGTCTTTTTCTGAAATTCATCTCACCGATTCTGAAATTGAGTTTACCATTTCTGAAATCGAACTAACCAATTCTGATATCGAGATTACATTTTCCGAAATATAACTTACCGATTCCGAAATTGAAGTTGAAAAGGTATAGAGTTATTTAGGATGATAGATCAATAGCCTGATATGTAATGTGAATGCTAGATTTCGAGTAATGTACTAGAAAATAAGAACTTCGGTAATTCAGAGGGGTAGATGTTGTGATAGATCTACCACGTCAGGAGTAGTTTCAATTTGTATTTCGGATGAATACTTTGATGTGGTAGTTCAACCTATATATAGGAAGTACGACAACAATCAATTTCATAATTGATAAAATGAAAAATGTAATGCTCAAGAGGTAGTTGTGCTAACTGATCTAGTATTTCTGAGGGTTAGTTTCAATTCGTTATTCCAAATAACAAATTTGATGCATTGTACTAAGTCTCTTGGTATTATTATTTGAATTCGAAAGAAGAAACTATGAGAAGAACTAATTGCAGAGAATGGGTTCGGAATGAAACTAAACTATGTAGGGCAAATGAATGTTGGTATACCGATGGCTCGAAAACTTCGGAAGGCGTCGGAGCCGGAATATACGGGATGAACCTAGTAGTGAAACGCTCATTCAGTATGGGTAACCTATCTACGGTATTCCAGGCAGAGGTATACGCCATTGAAATGTGTGTAAGGGAGCTGGGAAATCGACACCACACACGAAAAACAATAAAGATATTCTCAGATAGTAAAGCAGCACTGAAAGCACTTGAATCCAACTGCTTTAAATCCAGAGCAGTATGGAACTGCAGAAAAACCTTAAACCGACTGGCACAATGCAATAACGTTAACCTAGTCTCGATACCAGGTCACACGGGCCTAGAAGGGAACGAAATAGCGGACGTCCTAGCAAAAGGGGGGGCCGATCGGTATAGCATATCATATAGCACTGCCACGAATGTTATAACATCCTGGGCCGACAACAAATCACTAGAGTATTGGCGTGGTCTACCGGGCCTGGCCCATTCCAAAGCATGCATTGCATGTACAAGGAATAAACAGGACTCTGACACACTACTAGAACTCAGTAGAGCACATCTCAGAGTTATAGTAGGTTTGCTCACTGGCCATTGCAAACTCAAACACCACATGCACAAAATCGGACTTGCAGAAGATGCAGAATGCCGTCTATGCATGGAGGAGAATGAAACGGCTAAGCACATTCTATGTACATGCCTTGCAGCGGCCAGAATCAGATTTTCAACATTTGGCAATACAACAGTAGGGCCAGAAAACCTGATAAATTGTTCTCCCAACGTACTCCTTAATTCCGCCAAAATATTAGATATGCTGGGAGAGATATAACCATAGGGTGAGCCACTATAGGCTATTGGCCGCAGTGGAGCGCCTGACATGGGCCCACTCACGTTTAAACCTAACCTAACCTGATTGCAGAGCTTTGAAACATTATCTTTCTTGTAGTTCCGAACGGATATAACTTGGACTACAGCATGAACCGTATAGAAATAGATTCTGACGATAGCGACATTGACGAAGAGAAATTCTACACGCCCCCTACCAGTCCTAGTTTCATTTCAGAGGACGAGTCCGATTCCGAAGACGAATTCAACGATACCGAACCTCCGAAGCAGGAAATGTTCATCGAGGGGTAGATAGAAAAGTTTTCTAAAAAAAAAAAAAAAACGCTAAAATGATTATTGTTTCAGGGACTTCCCTACGAAAATTGACTGTGAAGTTTTCAACGCCCTGTGTTATGCCGACGTTAATTTAGATAGTAAGAAGCATCCTAACATTTACAAATGGCATCATACCGTCAGCTTATATTCCAATGAAGAAAGAGAAAGGTATGTGATTTTTTATACAACTTTTAGCCTTTTTTATGTTATGATATTTAGACGTTTTAATGTTGATGGTATTTTATTATGAATTTTAGATCTGATAAAACTAGAATGATTTTCCAAAAGTGTAAGCTTATATTTTTCAAGTCGTACATCTTTGATTTTGTTTCTTGTATCATGAATACGATGAATTTTATTTGATATTGCCGGCTTCTTTTCTAATAAATCTTTTGTACGCCTATATATTTTTGAATACATGACAAAGGTTTTAGATTAGTTTCATACATAGGGTGCGTTTTTCATTCCAACATGTTGTCATGCGCATGTATCGAAGAAACCATCGAACTGTTGCAAGATTCCGCTAGAATGTTTAAGGAAATCCATCAAACTGTAATAATAATAAATAATGTTTTTCTGCAACCGACACAAAAGTCGTCCATTTTGATACCAAAATCAGCTCTTAAATTGACGTTTCTATTACTGACACAAAAATAGGTATGTTGCTAGGCAACATATTTAGTTCCTAGGAGCTAAAGTTGAATTTTAGTTCCTAGGAGCTAAAGTTGAACTTTAGCTCCTAGGAACTAAAAAGGATGTACTGGAAGTCATCAAGAATAAACAACATTGTGATGGTTGGTTATTTGGGTTGAGACGCATACGTGATTTGTTTCCGATTTCAGCAGATTCAGCATCTCATACCCATGCTGGAGATATGAATACACCTTATTATAGTTTAGTATTGGAATTATAAACATCTTAGCTAAGTATTTTTGTTTTGATCAGGGAAGCCTTCAAGATTCAAATACTTGCTTGATCTGTATTTCATTCGTTATACTCAGGATGGATAACTTGTTTTTGAATAATCACGGCAAGCAATAGTTTTTTGTCTCAAACAACGATATTGTTTAGCTTCATTTGATTATCAAGTCAAACACAGTGTAGTATGGAGAGGAATAAATAATCACTATTATCATTGTTGATATGCTCACTAACCTAACATTTTCCACGTCTTGTTCCTATATAGCTGGCACTGGCGCGGTATTTGCCATTAGAGCACCTGGTCCATACACAAATATGTCACTCTGTGGTTGTATTCATATTGAAACTACAATTCGAACATCCTAGAAAACCTAACCTGCTGTTAATGCAGGTAGAATATTCTCACCACATGGATTATTTGTCAATATTTGTTGCATTGCATACATATATGGCACGGCATTGGTGGTTACTTCACATGTTTATTTGAGTTAATTGTTTCGGTTGCAGAAAAAATAGCATGTTTCATTCGGATCAAAAGTGACTTTGTTCGACTCGCAAATTTTGCTTTCGCTCGGCTTCGCTAAACGCTCCGCCTCGCAAATGCAAAATTCGCTTGTCAAACAAAGTGTCACTTCTGATCCTAATAAAACAATCTACTATTTTGTTTTTTTTTAAATTTTTGAATTGACTCGGCCGTTACTTGATGGAAATCGATGGCAAATGTAAAAACTTCACAAACGATGAGATTTCCACAAAATTCTTAAACACACAACATATTTTGCTAACACAGTAGCTTCGACAGTTGATATACTGGTACAATGAACTAAACCAACGTTGGCTTGCTTAACTTTCATATATCCTACTTTCCCAACTGGAAGGATTACTTACCCGTGGACAGGTTCGATAAACCATCATTTTCGGAAATTAGGCACAATATCTACATTAAAATACGGTGTACCGGTTTAACTTGAAAGGGTTGATAGCAAATAAATATTATTATCTACTTAGAAAACAAATTCAACAGTGGTGTGGTGTATATAAAAGTTAATCAAGCCAACGTTGGTTTAGTTCATTCACAAAGCTACTGTGTTAGCGAAGCATATTGTGTGTTTAAGAATTTTGTGGAAATCTTATCGTTTGTGACGTTTTTACATGTGAATAATGTGACTAATAAAATGCGCACTTTCGAATCGCTTTGCAAGAATCCAGCGGTTGGAGGTGACTGACATGACAATTGAAACATTTTTGTTTTGAGTATATTTATCAAAAATATCGAAAAAAATTTGAATTTTGAGATTCTTGGGAGATTTTAGAAGATGATGTTATGAGTGTTGATCAATAAAATCGTATCAGCCAGCCTCTTCTGATTCTGAAGATACATGACGACTGACACAACGTAATCTTTTTTTTTTCATCAATATTCGCGTTTGTTTGTGATTGTGTATGAACGAATAAAACGGCAAAGAACGAAGAATGACATTGAGGTGATGACGACCATGTGAAAACCACATGCAATCGAAATGACATAATAATCATCAATAAAAAATATCAAAGTTCAGAATAGATCAATTTTTGAATCTTTGGATTGGATCAATGGATTGATGATTCATATTGAATAATGGTTTTGGTATGAACGTGCGGGCTGTGGGGTAGGTACGTGGGAATTTCTAACTATGACTAATCAATAATCATTTCCTAGACATTGGGGTTATTCGATATTATCAAATTTTGATAGTACCTATATATCAATGGAGAATATTGTAGTGAATCATGCAGTGAGTACCATATTATGGAAATGGAAAGTGCATTGAAACTTATATTTGTTACCTACCTAGCGACATTCTTAATGAAATTATGGATTCATAAATTGATAAAATCAAATCCAGAATGAAGAATGTTTCATTCCTGACCTTTTTCAAAATATATAATGAAGAAGTCCAAAAAAATGGAATTTTTTTACAGATTGACTCCTGGATATTTCTATGAATTATATGCACATTTTTCCTCTTTTGTTGGTTCATCTTTTCCATCAGTAGGTACCTACCTATCCCTTATTCCGTATCTACTATTTCTATTCTACAAACTTTTTGATTACAACAAAATTATTATGATGTTCGATGTTCTGAGACCGAATGCCACCAGGATGATAAGAAATTCCACAGAATAGTCAATAAAACGGTGATTATGTCCCACTGGTGACACTAGCAATGCCAATGAAACGCTACTAATGTGTTGTATAATCCATTGTTCCATCGTTCCAGCATAAATTCCATCAGAACAATTATTGACGTCACGACAAAAAAGCGCATCTATCAGTGCGCACTTTCTTCGATGGAATGAAAAACACGCCCATACCACCCGATCCAATGGATTTCCATTTTTTTTTCAGTTGGCCCACCCTGAAAGATGGGTACTGTGCCAAACCCTGCCACAATTCCAGCCTGGACGGTTCGTTTCCGGTGAATTCGCCGAGAACGAGCACCCCTGCCAAACCGTGGCTACGGATCACGGGTGCAAATTCGCCCAAAGCTGTCTTCAAATCCCGCAGCATGCATTTGTAAGAACAGCCTTGATAATCTCAGTAGGATACCCGGCTGCTAATTTTGAACGTCCTCTGATAACGAAATGTTCAAAATGATTGAAACATTTTGAATTGACTCGACCGTTGATGGAAATCCATCGCGAATGTAAAGATTTCCACAAAATTCTTGAATTTATGCATTTGATAGAAAAATTGCACTTTCCTGTGCGGTAATTTGCACTCAATTCTTGAGATTTGGTAGCGAGATGAGAATTATGCCATCCGCTACCAATTATTATTGTTTATTGAGAAAATAGTTACGTATATGAGATGTTTGCGTTCAAATTTCGTATGGGAGTATTTCAGCTATGCTTGAATTGAATTGGCTAGTCACTGTTTCGAAAAAAATTGCCTAAGAGTCGTTTTTGAAATTTTGACCCCATCAATAAACAAAAGTAGGCCTTGAAAATCTGAATATTTCAAAGGACCCCGCACTTTTAGTACGTAAAATGGTTCTCGGTGAAATTTTCTGAATTTTCAGTATGTTGTAGAATTCGATGAACTGATTGAACCTGCAGAATCGTAAAGTTCTTTGATGAACAGATTCTGAGATACAGGACGTTGAAGTTACAAATCGGTATTTTTCATTTAATTATTTTCTCGAAATTCAAAGATGCCAAGTACAATTTTCTTCGCTCATATCATATTACTCAACATTATTCAGATGGTTCAGATGATGTAATTGTTTACAGAGTGAAACATATAAACATTTCAGTGATGTCTGAAAATTCGATGTAATAATGAAATATCGAAAAAATAATTTAGGCATGCAATATACTATTCTCATTCCATCATGAATCACAGTTCATACATTTCATACAGGGTGATTTGAAAAATTGGTGACACCTAAGACCGATTTAATCATACACATCCTGTATATTCGAGTGAATTGTTAACCTTCCAAGATAGCTGATACCGTATGAACATAATTTCTTTGAGATATATAGGGTGATCATGAAGATTTTCGATGATGAAAATGACAAAAAGTCGTGTTTTTTTAAATCACCCTGTTATTCATGATTAACTCGGTGAAATTCCCTAATTATTTTTTAATATATTCATCATTCGCTCCTCAACGCTGTCTTGAAAATTCAGTTTCCTATCATGACGGGTGTCATAGTTATTAATTCAGGAACTTACCATTTGCATGAAGAGTTGAAGAGACTTGTTCACTTACATTCGCATAGTGGCCGATATTTTTCACAAATAGTGAAACGTGAGAATCTGGAGACGAAAATAAGTTTAGTATTCATATACAGGGTGAACATAAGAAATTCAATAACAATAGCAGATATATGAATTTAATAATATTAATATAATGTACAGATAGTTAGGCGAATTTCGATTCCAGGATTCAACTCTCCCTATTAGAAATGGAAGCGTGAAAGACCGAATCATTCTCCCATCTCCAAGGTATTGTTCGTTTTTCATTTTGGCAGAGCTTGTACACCAACGAAATTCGCCTAACTATCTGTACATTATATTAATATTATTAAATTCATATATCTGCTATTGTTATTTAATTTCTAATGTTCACCCTGTATATGAATACTAAACTCATTTTCGTCTCCAGATTCTCACGTTTCACTATTTGTGAAAAATATCGGCCACTATACGAATGTAAGTGAACAAGTCTCTTCAACTCTTCATGCAAATGGTAAGTTCCTGAATTAATAACTATGACACCCGTCATGATAGGAAACTGAATTTTCAAGACAGCGTTGAGGAGCGAATGATGAATATATTAAAAAATAATTAGGGAATTTCACCGAGTTAATCATGAATAACAGGGTGATTTCAAAAAACACGATTTTTTGTCATTTTCATCATCGAAAATCTTCATGATCACCCTATATATCTCAAAGAAATCATGTTCATACGGTATCAGCTATCTTGGAAGGTTAACAATTCACTCGAATATACAGGATGTGTATGATTAAATCGGTCTTAGGTGTCACCAATTTTTCAAATCACCCTGTATGAAATGTATGAATTGTGATTCATGATGGAATGAGAATAGTATATTGCATGCCTAAATTATTTTTTCGATATTTCATTATTACATCGAATTTTCAGACATCACTGAAATGTTTATATGTTTCACTCTGTAAACAATTACATCATCTGAACCATCTGAATAATGTTGAGTAATATGATATGAGCGAAGAAAATTGTACTTGGCATCTTTGAATTTCGAGAAAATAATTAAATGAAAAATACCGATTTGTAACTTCAACGCCCTGTATCTCAGAATCTGTTCATCAAAGAACTTTACGATTCTGCAGGTTCAATCAGTTCATCGAATTCTACAACATACTGAAAATTCAGAAAATTTCACCGAGAACCATTTTACGTACTAAAAGTGCGGGGTCCTTTGTGCACATTCTCGAATAGTACTCGCTCGTTGAGTACTGTATTATAGAATTTTTTTTTGTAAATCGGTCGACAGGTTCCAAATTATCATTTCTTTATCAGATGACGGTCGAAATTTGCAACCAACAACGGTATTTTTTCATACAGTGCGTTCCATATGATACGCGAATATTTTTGGAACACGTCAATCAGTTTTTCTAACTCCTGATTCTTTGACACTTTCAAATTCAAATATTTATGGAGAAGTAGGCTAGTTGGAGGATATCACGTCGCCCTACCTGACGGCAATAACTTGAACACTTCTGAGCAGTTCATTTTGTCAGGGCCATCTTAAGAGTTTCGGGGCCCCAAGGCACGAGATGTTTTAGGGCCCCCATATTTTTTTAATAGACTAAAATAGGTAATGAAACATTTCAAATAAAATAAAATCTTGCATATTGAACAAACATTAAGAATATATTATTTCAATAAGCAATTTAATATTTTGTAAGTACCTATTTAAAAGTAACTAAAACTAAGAACAATTTTTGGGAAACACAGGTACTCAGTGAAATGCAGAGAAAAATAACCTAAATATGTCGTTTTCTTGATTTGATTTCAGCAAATCTGTTTATGATCTCCTCGAAATCAATATTTTTTGTTATTTCATTTTCAATGGACAAAAGTGCCAAAGAATTGAGTCTTTCCTGTCCAATGGTCGAACGCAAATGATTTTTGACTAACTTCAATTTTGAAAACGTCCTTTCTCCTGCACAGTTCGATGTATGGGTGCATAAGAATATTCTGACAGCTACCTCTACGTTGGGAAATACCTGAAAAATAGGTGATTTTCATCGATATTTGAGTTCTCCTAAGTCACTTAATATTAACCTGTCTTATGTCAGAGTCTTTCAATAAATCCCAGAGATTTCTGAAGGTCAGTGATACTTTTTCCAAGGTATTCAAATATTCTTTTAAATGTATACATTCTTCTTCAAATTCGGGCTCCAAGTCTTCGTTATATATATTTATCAATGTCTTTGCACATGTTCTAATCAATTCAGTATTCAAATCTAATTTAGTTAAAAAACTGAATTTCTTGTCTAGATTTCTATATGCAGCTCCCCTTCGTTCTAGTTCTGCCCACAAAGTATCAACTATAACATAGAAAGTATTTGTTTTAAAATACTGGCTTCCATCCATGGCTAGAGCGGCATCTTCTGAAGACGTTCTGTCTTCGTTCTTTTTATTCATCACTTTTTTCCGTTTGAAGTCCTTCTCATATCTCGTTTCAGTGGTAGTGGATATATCTTTTGCTGCTTCTTCATAAATTCGAAAATCATCGCGCATCGACAATATGTAGTTGCTCAGTGAATTATATAAATGAACAACGTTATCTATATCAATGTCAGAACTTTGCAGTTTCTTGTTTGTTTGGTCGAATCTTTTCAAAATATTACTCCAAATGGTAGTCATCAAAGCAGTTTCCAATCGGTCTAATTTTTTAGCCAAGTTATTTGCTTCAACACGTGCCATAGATTTTTCTTTCACATCATTGCCTATGGTATTCAATGCATTATAAATCTCTCTATATGATATAGCTAGAGATCGACAGGCATCAGCACGAGCTGACCAGCGGGTTTTTGAGAGATTTTTCAGAGAAGTTGATCTACAATTTTGTTTCAAATGTTCATCTAATATTTCCCATCTATGGGTTGATGCACTGAAAAAATTGTATAGTTCTTGAAGTAAACTGAAATAGTTCACTGCCTCTGGACAAGATTCAGCAGCGCATGTACCAACTAAGTTCAAGGAATGTGCGGAACACGGAACATATTGAGCCAATGGATTAACTTCTTTTATACGGGCTTGTACTCCAGTATAAACGCCGGACATATTACTTGCGTTGTCGTAACTTTGGCCACGGCAGAACTTTATGTTTATATTTTTTTCGGCAAGGAACGATAAAATACAATCGGTTATGGATTCTGATTTATGACCAACATTCTGTATGAAACAAATGAACCTTTCTGTTGGTATTCCATTTAATTGAACATATCTTATGATGAAAGTCAATTGATCGAAGTGGGAGATATCTGGAGTTGAGTCAACGCTGATAGAAAAATATTTGGCCATTTTTATTTCCCCGATAATGACATTCATAACTTCATCTGCCATGAGTTGAATGAATTCATCGCAAATGTTTGCCGATAGATATGATACATTTCCTTTACCCCTATTGCCATATTCTGATAAATGACTCGCTAAAAAGGGATCGAATTGGGCAATCAGTTCAATGCATCCCAAGAAATTACCGTTTTCTGGTGACCCCAAACTCTGATTGGTACCTTTGAAAGCCAAGCCGCGAGCAGTCAGCATTTGGACAGTGGCCACTACCCTTTTCAAAACCTCCCGCCAATATTTTTTTTCTTCCTCGATTTGTTCGCAAATATGATGGTCGATCCTTTGACTAGATTTACCACGTGCACTCAATTTGAAGCATGATGTTCGATGTTGAGAAGTGTTCTCATGTTCAGAAACACGTGTTGTCACATTTTTCCAATCACAAAACCCATCCTTTGCGAATTTACTTTCATTTGATGAATAATTTGAAAACAATTTGCATGGGACACAAAATAGCTTGCCTGTAGATGGAGAATATACTAGC